GCGGTTTTTCCGCTGTGCGGTTTTTTTTATTTTGTTTAATATTTTTGTTCGTCCATAACATTTTAAACATTGCATTATCATTGTAACAATTTTATATATTAAAATCCTAATATCTTTGGAAGCCGTTGAAGCAACCATTTTCTTTTTCCTGTTTACTTTGAAAGAAGTAGTTATTTTATTTACGGCGTGGTTAATTATCGATTATTTTATAAAAATGTCCGAGGTAAAAAATGTTGATCCACAGGTAGATGTAATTGATAAAGAATTTTCGATTAAATTGATGCTGTCCAAAAGCAAAGACGTTTCTTTAAAAGCTCAAGATTCCTATTTTCTGTTCAGCATCCCAGTTTCGAGTGTTTCGTCAGAAAGGGTAGGATCATCTCTCAATTATACACTGCAAAAGAGACGGTCCAGTTTAAATCCATACAAAATTGACAAAATGTTATTTATTAAGAGTAACAGTGATTTGGATGTAGATAGTTGTGATTTATAATGTCAATAAAAGCATTAATGTTGTTTTTCATTTCTTGCGGTGCGGTTGCGGTTTTCGGCGGTGCGGTTGCGGTTTTCGGCGGTGCGGTTGCGGTTTTCGACGTTGCGGTGCAGGTGCGGTTTTCAAATGTTGCAGTTTTGTGCGGTTGCGGTTTTTTGAAAATTCCAACCGCGCAGGGCTCTAGTTGAGACCTCGAACGAACACAACAGATATAAGAACCACTTTCAACATAAAACGAAGGCATTGAAGGGATTAAACATTCATTTATTAACTATCTTATATAATTATTATTATTAAAGATTATTGCAAATTTCAATGTTACCTAATCTATGTTAATTTTTATTTCTTTGCTTCTCTCGATCTTCTTTCCTTTTTCCTGAGAGCTTGTAAGCGGGAGAGTTCGAGATTTACGTTATAATAAAGTTAATAATTTTTTACGCCAAAATTGTGTTTGTTTTGTTTAATTTACTTCTTAACAAGGTGTCTTTAAAAAATTTTGGGTAGAAACTCATTTGTATGTAATTCGGTTTAAGAAACTATTCAGATTAGAAAACCTTTTCATTTAATGAAAGTTTTTTGAAGTTTTATTTACTAAGTAGAAGAAAATGCTTTGTTAGTTTCGTTATTGAATTGCAGGTAATTCAGTTAAGTGCGTTTGTAAGTCAGTAGAGATGTAATATAACCTGTTAGAACTTAGTTACGTTAAACAAAAATCTATCGTATTTGTTTGTATGTTTGGTGGTTGCTGTGCATTAATAAATTGGCATTGTTCTATTTAATCAACACTTTTGTAATGAAATTGTAAACTGCTATCTACTACACATCCATCTACCGACTTATGATACATCACACACACACACATCAACTCTCACTCAAATGCAACAACCATTAATGTAACGCAACAACATCTACCACCAGCAAAACCACACATTCATCAACTACTTTCCAACACCTTTTTTTTTATCCATACATACTAACACACGCACTTTCACTGACACGCCTAAACATTCACGCATATTAATCAGCAGATAACTCTCGAGATAGCACGCATATATACATACATACACACATATATAAATACATACATACATACATATATACGTACAAACATACACACACATACATGCATCATACATACATAAATGAATCAACACATTTGAATCCATTAGCAGCCACATATATTATTTTTTCCCGTAACAACAATGTAGAAATTGGAAATTTGTTATTAGAGATATTTATCTTTAATCTGTTAGAACAAGTAGATTAATTTAATTAATTTAAACTATTCGGAGTAACCATTGATTCCAAATTTAACTTTTAAAAAATCAGGTTAAAACTGTTATAAGTAAAATAAATGTTACATCAGAAGTTATTTAACGAATCAATTCATTATTAACCCGCAACTCTGAGAAACTCATTTATTTTTCTTCTATTTACATTACTGCAAACAATCATTATCAATTAATTGCTAAAGTTATCAAGGTTTTCGGCACTCCTGAAAACAAACGCTAATTAAGACAATACATGTCAATACTATTACAAAAATTTAATGCTTTCTGTATTATGGAGGGAGCAACGAAGTACCTTTCTGTGCAGGAACCCCGGGCATAAATAAACACTGGAACCTGAAAGTGATTTTAGCTCCCTCAAAGCTTTTATCAAAAGAGGAGCCACACATAAATGCATGCATGCACACATTCATTCATTCATACTGATATGCCCATTACACATGCTTAAAAAATGTATGCAAGACTCACGCTCACACGAAACAATATCGTGTAATTATTTTTAAAGATAGGTTTTTATACATTCTATGATGAAGCTCCTTCCTTCTTATAAGTGTATATAGACACACAACAGCTACCACACATTCACGCGCGTACAAACACACAAACTATCACACACACACATTCACACACACTTGTACCATACAAACTCATATATGCATTAAAATTTTAAACAAAACTTCCACTAGTTTGTTCAGAAATATTTCAACTTCATCACACACATACACGACGAATTATGCATGCATTTTCCTACACTTTAAATATTTATGAAATGTTGAGCATTCCGAATGTATGAATTTTGTGTGCATGCATGGATGAGGAATGCGTTTTTTCTTTCATTCCTGTATGCTTATCGTTATGTGGGAAAATTTAATTTAATTACTTGCTTAATAAAAAACTTTAGTCCTTTAGTTTCTTTAAAGGTGCTTTTCTACTCTTTCATCCATTCGTTCATCCATCTATCCATCCATTCATCTGAACAATACATCCAACAATTTATTTTTCCATCCATTCATTTATCCATTCCATTATCTATCTATTTGTCAATTCTTTCATTTATCCATTTTATCATCCATCCATCTAATCTACCCATTCGTCCATCCAATCAAGTTTCTATCTTGTCTTCATTCACAGATCATTGCAAGAATAATTAATAAATGAACGAATAGACGATGAACAAGTGAACGAATGAACAAAATAATGAACTAAAATACAAATAACTAAAAAACAGCTATATGAATGAATGAATGAATGAATAAAAAATGAATGAATTAATGAAACACATGCATAACACACAAAAATGGAAAATCTCAGCTGTAATGATGATGATGATGCAGTGCTCCGTTTAGATAGATGGATGGATGCATGATGATGGAGGAATGAACTAACCAGGCCGACGAACTATGATGAAAGTCTTCATAGATGGATGAGTGGCGGTTGTATGAAAATATGAATGAATGGAAAAATAAATATAAAATGAATGGATGGATGGTTAAATGAAAAATAAGTAAAAAAATTATAAAAATTATAAAAATAGTGCCTCAACAGATGATTGGATGGGGGAAAATGATTAGATAAAAAACAAAATGATGACACGAAATGACACAAGTGGTGATGAAGGTTATGAAGTTGATGTAATGCGATGTGGTGTTTTGTGATGTGATGGTGTGGTGATGAGATGGGGGTGGGGTGTGTGGTGATGTGATGGGGGTGGGGTGTGTGGTGATGTGATGGGGTGAGGATATGATATGAAGATGACGTTGAAATGAAAATTTTTTCAAAAATGATTAAATGTAGTATAAGCGCGCAGATGATGAATTATGATCTGTCCTGTTATCATCTTCAACTTCAACATCGTCGTCATCATAATCGCTACCATCATCATCATCTCTATCATTACTATCATCTCCCTCATGTTCATCATCACCGCCACCATCATCATTATCTCCTCCATCATCACCATCACCACCATCATCATCATCATCAGTGGAGTTCTGACCTTAGATGTAGAAAATGGCGTTGAAAAATGATAATGACGTTATCGCTGTTTTTATTACGGGAAGAAGTCACGTGATTATGATGATGGTGAAGACGAAGATGGCGTTGATGATTATAGTACTAACGTTGTGGAAGCACAACAGACGATGATGATGATGACGACGAAGACGATAATGATGACGAAGACGATGATGATGACAATGACTATAAGAATTATAATGATGATATCCAAACTGATGATGATGATGAGGTCATGTTGTTTTTACTACAATTACGCGATGATTTGCCCTTGCCACCTCTTAGATGAAAATTTAACGCCAGCCAGACGTGAGGCTGTTCTTTGGAAGAAATAATCAAAGCGTAACATCCATCATAATTGTTTTTTTTTATTATTGATATTTTATTGACAAACAGTGATTTTGCGATTATTGTGAATTATTATTAGTGAAATTAAAGAAAAATATAGTAAAATAATGGGACATGGAAATTGAAAATAGAGTTATTCCACAAAATTAAAAGATAACAAAAATATCGAATGATGATATATAAAATTACAAATAAAAGTTTTTATAAAATTTACGAAAATAATACCTTGGTCGAAACGAGAATTAAAAAAAAATGAAAAAAACATTTTATACGCTAACAAAACACTCAACATTTTGTTACATCATCACAAACATCACATCATCGTCGTCGTTAATATCACGTTATCATCATCAACATCTTATCATCGTCATCATTATTACCATCATTACATATCATAAGAAAAATAAATCTCATTTTACAAAAACATTACAACCACAACAATCATACCTAAGTCTTAAACACAACATCGCATTCCGCTATATATAATTGAAAAAAATTTCAAAAAGATTTGAACATAAAATGTTACAAGTTAAACAAAATTTTAAAAATAACGCCGACAACACATCTCACATAGCAGCAGCAACAACATATTGCAACACAAACTACATACAGGTTTCGATCAACATAATCTCCCTAGCCGTGTTGTTGTACTTTCTCTTAGTGCCAGTACTGCTCAGTCCGCTAATTTGATTTTCTGCCCTCTCTGGCGACTTGGCTAGATATGGCGAACTTGTTGCAGATATGGTACCATTGGGAACTCTTTTATCTCTTTGGAAAGTCGTGGAGATTGTGGTCTGGTCGTTACTTTCGTCAACATGTTCGTTGTCGGTGTGATCAAGTTTGGAAGGTTTCAGGGCAAATAATTTAAAATCTTTGGGAAATAAAACTGTTACAAGAAAAACGATGCAACCGAAGAATGAATTGAGAAGAATGAAGAGGTACCAAATTTGTTGGACATCGCCGTAAGAAGCTATGAAAGCAAACATCCACGTGATCGAATGAAATATTGTTAACTTCAACGATGCTACAATCGCTGATATCGGCGATTCTTTCTCATTCTCAATGAGCGACAACGGAAAAATACATTTATGAATGAGGGCAAAAAATATGAAAAACACATTAACGCAAACTAAAAGACAAAGAGGTCCGACTAAATATATCATAGATGAAACGCTATTCGATATCCAGCAACTTAACTCACCGTAATGCGGTCTGAAAGCATTTTCTATTTTGAAAATATCCAAACTCGTTGTGAAAATTACTAACACTCCGGGAACCATCCAGCCGAACAAAGCCAACCAAACAAAATCCAATCCGTTTTTGTTTTTTTCGTCTCCGGGGTAGCTAAATTTCAGTCTGTTGTATCTACGATAGGCAAAGTAGGTGAAGGAGTTTAGCCAGAAGAACGAGGACAGAAGCGAGAAGTGCGACAGGACCGCGACGTGGAAGCAATAATGAGAAATTCGGTCACAATGCTCAGAAGAATTAGTTAGAAGTAAAGAAATTTGAGTGAAGATGAGAGAGATTGTGAAGCCGATGATGCTCATGCCTCTAGATTCGGTGCGCAGAGATTTGTATATAATGTGGATCAATAAAGTTACCAAGAGAGCCATTGTGCTTACCATTATCCCGACAAACGATAGAAAGTTCTGGAAGGTGTTCAATTTAAAAAAACTGTGAAGATTATTCAACTTTGAAGATGGCGAAAAAGATGAGGATTTAGAATGTGGCGGTGATGATGAAAGTGAAGCATTATAAGAAATATTCTTTCCTGCTTGATCCATTAAATAATTTTCATCCAGCGCGTTGAAACTATCAGATGGCATAATGACGTCATCGCATGCATAAACGAACGGCATCTCGTACGCGTAACTCTCTACAGAGTAAGATTTTCCAGTCTTCTGAACAAAAACAGATCTATCGGGCAGGAATGCAACGTCTGAATAATTGAAAACCACTAGATCGGAGCATTTGATAGACGATGTGATGTTGTTCGTTGTTGAGTTTAATCTTAAACGTTCATTGTTGATGCTTCGATTGAAATTACTGTACGATTCTGTCGTAAAGGAAGTTACTTCATCAGCTGTTGATGTTGTTAGTGAATCGTGTAAAAGCTCATTTGCTACTAATGTTGTTGTGGTAGTGGTGGTTGAAATTAAATGTGAAGTAGTTTTGAATGTAGAAGTTGAAGTGAGGGGAAACATCGATGTCTTGCTTTTGTAATTATTTGTTGGTCTCTTGACTGTTGTGTGTCTGTGACTACTTTTGTGATTGACGATCTCACTAGCCAACACACAACCATCATTTGTCAATTTGTAATTTTTCTTGCAAAAGATTGGCACACAAACCCATTCAAAAGGATCCAAAATGAAACCTACATCGCACGGAGTAAATTTTACACTTTTAATTGATAATATTTTTTCCCGATTTCTCACCCTAACTTCACCCTGGTTCGTGTTTATATCAATCGAAATCCGATTAGATGTTTCATATTCATAAATGTTTTTTGGAATGCGCTGACTTTCAGAAATCGGAGAGCAATCTTGAAGCAACTCTTCAGAAATCCCGTTACATATGGCGCAATGTTTGTTTCGATAGACGTGAACTTGGTCTCTGAGGGAAGCAAATACAAAAGAAGTTCTATTAACTCCGGTACATTTAACTATTTGACTTCTTTCGGTGAACCAATCGACACATGTTTTGATCAGGTTTGACTGACAAAATCTTGGCGCAGCGTGTACGGGATATTCAAAAACATAAAACTCTGGTGACGTTTCTTCTGAAGTCGATTCATCCAGAAGATTAATATCTAGCTGGATTTCCAAATTAACTGTCAGCTTTTTTTCCACATTCCAAAAAATAACCTCCGTATCGCCATTACACACAGCGCAGTAATAATTCTTGTACAACAAGTTACTGTACTTACCGTTGACGGGCAATTTAGCGAACCACGTGTTACCTTGCTGGCACTTTGATTTCACGAAAAAATCTCGGTAGTCTCTCGGACATTTGGTGATTAATTTGATGGGCTGATCGCTGGCTTTGTTAGCCGCTTTCAAATTGGTAGATGTTGTAAGTGTTGACGATGATAAAGATGGTAGGGATGTATAATTGAAGTTAAAAATCATACAAGAGACGAGTTGTGAATCCAGTTTGACTGGCATGTAACTGCTGATGACTGTCGGCACATAATCGGAACAACAGTCGTCGAACGCAACGCACAAGTGGTCGCAGTAACAGTTTTTATTCGTTCGAATATCGGTCTCTTCAAGAACTTTTTGATCAGCACAAAGTTTTTGAGGTAAACACGTTGGAGGAAGTTCTTTTGTTTTAGCTGGACTGTGCTGAGATGCATCAAAAGAATTCCTTACGTTGTTTTTGTTGCGGTGGACAATATTATTATTATTGTCATAAAAGTTACTGTTGGGAAGATCATTGTTGTTGCTGTTGTTGTTGGTTTTTAAGTTGTCTAAGCTATTTTTATGGTAGTTGTTTTTATTACGGTTGAATGTGGGTGACGTGTAAGTGAAGAATGAAAATGCCGCCCTGGAACTGTTGCTAGTTGTTTCGGTGCTTGGGAAATTGGCAACAAAAAGAGGAAGATCCGTTGTTGCTGTTGTCGTTGTAGTGGCCTGCAGCTGGTTCTCGTTTCGATTGCGACCAGGTTTCCTTTGTTGTTGTTGATGATGTTGATGTTGTTGTTTTCTTTTTGACGATGATTCATTTGAAATGACGGCAGAACAAAACAAGCAAAAAAGAAGTAGGAGGGTAATAAGAGAAACGTGACTAAATGCTGATGCTTCCCCCATACTGATATTGATGACAAACAACTATTACAAAGTGTTTAAAACAGAAGCGAAGCCAATTAATTTAGTCTACAGATCCATTATCCCATATAAACGAACTGGAAAATAAATTCATAAATAAAATTAAAAATAAAATATTTATTTGATATATTAAATAATTAAACAATTGATTTGTTTATGTAAAAAGAATGAGAAACAAAATACGATACTCCATGAACATTTGTTGTTCTTACACCATCTTCGCGTTGAACTGACTGACATTGAATGAATGATTGTTATAAAATAAAAGAAAGAAGCTCTTACTCTTTCCATATCATTGAACGCATTGAAACAATCATATAAACTGCATGACTCATTCAAATATATATATATATATATATATACAATATATAAAAATATAAATATATATACATACTGTGTGTTTGTTTGGTGTGTGTGCATGTAATATACATTTAACTATATATATACATACACTTGCATTATACATGTGCATGCGAGTGTCCGTGTGCTTATGTCTGTGTAGAAACATAATAGCCATTTATAACAAAGGCATTCATCTTCACAACTACACAGCTAAGAAAGGGCTATTCCTTGAATTAATTATTATAATTACACGGGCCGCGGGCATGTCATGAATATTAAATACTATGTTGGTGCAGCATTGTATATGTTGTACAATGTAAATATAAAAAAAGATTATGCGTAATTTTACATATTTGTTTGCGTAAACAAAAAATATACAGCGTTATCATGCAACTCACAACTTAACAAACGAACAAACAATCATGAACAAACAACAACCAGTCAACAAAAAGAACAACAAACAACAAACAAACCAACCAACAACAACAGCAAACATCAACACATAATAAAACCATTAAAAATAGCCTCTTTCCATGTAATTTAATTCAACTTATTTACTTTCTCTCTAATGTTAAATGGAGGAAAAAAGATTTCATCGTTCATTCTGTTAATTTGAAAAAATCTTTAATATATATATATTTATATCTGAATTCTACAGAATTCTATGGACAAACTTTAAATTGATTAATGTCAACAATTCTGTAGAATTCATACAGTACTCCTTCCAGCATATATGTATCTATAAATATGTGAGTGTGTTTGTATCGGTATGTGCGTGTGCGTGTGGTCCGTGTGAAATACTTCCACCGTTCCACTGTTGAACAAACAAAACACACAAAAACATATTTCGTTTACCCTGTACTTCCATCGTAACAGATAAATTTGAACGGAATTTTACAATGACCAATACATAGGATTGAGATTTTTAGGTGATTTTTTTAAGTTAAAAAAATTACTTTAATTTTTTATAAATTTTTTGGTATTTAATAAATGTAAACGCCAACAAACTTCATAAAATTAATTAATTCGTCATTATATAAATTTAATTGTCAGTTTAGACGATGCTTCTATCGTTAAAGTGGATAAAAAAATGATCTTTTCAATGATTTCTTTATTCCCATTAAATGAAACAAAAAGAAATAAAACAAGAATGAAACAATAAAAAGCCAACATTCATCTTTATCATTATAAGTTATAATAATTTTAGACAATAATCATTAAAATAGCAAATAATAAAAATTTACTAGACCACTTAAAATTTACAAATCCGCGATTAGTGATTACACATGCATGACACGGGGAAGAACATCGGACAAACAGACAGACTAGGAAAGAATCGCTGACCAGCTGACCACATATAAATACACCGGCTCAGACTTCGCCAATGCCACCGTCCAGGGTTCGGTTGTGTGTGTGGGAAATTATTAAAATGCAAAAAAAGTTAAAATAATTAAGGTTACGTTGTCATAAACTGTTGCACAAAATTTACAAAACACATTACAACTTATAATGATGTACATTTATTTATATATTAATAATGATAACGTATTTATACCAATATATAATTATAACACGCTCACGCACACACATATACACACACAGTAGGACACACACACACACACACACACACACACACACATATATATATATATATATATATATTAAGACTGTCAGAAATTTAATTATTGACGATAATCATAGCACGTCCGCATTAGTTTCTTTGTCAAGTTTCTTGAGTTAAAAACCAAAACTCATTTATTTTAATTATGATAGAACATTTAAGCATGATAAAACAAAAAGCTTTTTATTTCTACACCATCTTCGGCCGAACCCTCGAGTATATATCTTGTGCCTCCAAAATGTTAACTCTTTGTTTGCTAAATGTGAATACTTAACAGTCATTTAATCAGTTATTACGATCTTCAACTCTGTGCAATGTGACACTTTTACGTGTCATCATTATCGATGATTCCTCTGTTTCTGAATTTATCAGTGGGAAGGATTCCAATTTCCCGTTGTTGAATTTTTATTATCGGATGTCTTCGTTCTATGAGTATTGATTAAAATAGAAATATTTTAAAATATAAAAATGCAATGATTTACAATCTACCGTTACAAAATTTAAAAAATTAAACCGGAAGCTAACTAATGCGGAACATGCTTTGATTTTCATCAACAATATGTACATATACATTCATATTTTTATCCGAATGAAACATGTTACAATTTCACGCGCCATGTGCGAAAAATCCAACAACGTACATGCGAGTTGCAAAACTTCTTGTGAACTTTAGGCGAAATTTAATCATTCGGATATTTAAAAGGTGGCGAAAATGTTACATAATATATGCAATAACAAGTATTAGTCATTTATATATATATATATATATTATATATATATATATATTCATATATTTATATTCATATATTTATATTATTCATATATAAACATACACGTTGACGTAGACACACAAACACATACTTACAAACATACACGCTTGCATACGTACGAATACGCAGACGGAACAGCACTTATTGAATAATATTAAGCAATTTATTAATGGACGTTTTTATAGATGGGATAAATAAGTATAATCATAATTATATAGATAGTTATAATGGTAATTATATTTATATATATATTTTTTATGTATATATTCGTGTAAATTAGAAGTTGTTATCATGTAAAATGGAAAAAAGAACTTTCCGCTTCATACCAATCCAATAATATAAATAAATATAAATATTATAACAGATGTAACAATGTATAGAACTCATCTGAATTAATGAATGTGTATTATTTAACGTAACAAACAAGAAACATTAGATTGTATATTGCAATGAAAATTTATGGCAGGTTGTAGTGCAGGAAAAATATAGAATATTGAAATAAAAAATTCTATTAAATATATATTTTAGTTATTTGAATATTTGATTCACAAAAATACGCACTGCACTTTAATTAATAAATAGTTGATTATATAGTAAATAATTATATAGTAGTATTATATATCATTAAAATAATGGACTCATGTGAAACAGTGCGCCTTTAAATATATAACTGCAGCTTTTAAAATTATTCCGGCATCAAATGCATTGCTTGTAATTAATACAAATTGTGCTATAATCAATGTTTCAATCATATTAACAATAATTATGTATTAATCTGGAAGATTAATACATAATTTACAATTTTAACTATCGCCTATTGAGACAAAGAGAATAAGACATTAATTAAAACAATTCTCGGCCTAGAACTACGTGCCTATAAAAACATTGTCTCAATTATAGTACTTATCCATTTCCATGGATAAAATTTGCATTTAAATAGTGAAAAATCATTTCTGACACAATGCAGACGGATGATTTAACAAGTTCGAAACCTTCGAAACCAACAATTTCTCACTAACGCCTGTTACATCAAATTATTTGCCGGCTGCTCTATGTCAGCGAAACCGTCAACCAGAATTTTAGAGTACCACAAGGTCAAGGTGAAAATCGGTGGGCGGGTGAGGCCGCATTGAACGTCCAATCACGTTTACTATCATCATGTCACTGTATCATCATATCATTGTATAAATTTGTCAGGGAATCTGCTTTGGGAGCTTGGATATCTATCAGATTTAATTCAATCGAGAAAAAATGTTATTTAGGGTTATGAAATGATCGAATCAAGCATCCTACGACCTATTTGATCAACCGGACGGCGCGACAAATCTATAAAAAGCGAGATCTGGCTATCCGTGCAAACGGAAAATAAAATTAGAGAACTGAAAATCAAATGAAGAACCATTTATTGTAACTGTAGATAATAACGACAACGATACTAATAAATGGACGCGGTGGATTATATACGTATATTAACCATAATTATGGTAACAATAACATTGGAATAAATGAATAAGCGAACCACATTATCAACATAAAATAAAGTACATTGACTTACTAAACGAATTAATCTTCTACTATCAAGAGATCACCACCAATTATCTTTACTCAAAATTTATAATAACTCCAGACAATAATTACTTGGAAACTTAACAAATTTTATTCTTCCTCTTCTCACAGGTAAAAAGATAATTAGTAATAATCATAATAATAATGAAAATGACAACATTAACGATTACAATAATGATGACGCTATACATCGCAGTTATGCATGTACATTTACACATATACATGCACAATACATATAGATATATATATATATACGTATATATGTACATATATATGTATATATATATAACACATACATACATATACATGTATTCGTTATTAACATAATGTATACCTATTTACACGAGAAACAAATGCACAACGCAAAATGATAAAATGTTTGTAACTTTATATATACATACATAGACATAAACGTACTCACGCATACGAATGTATACATCCGCACTTACATTTACTGTATATATATTAGACTCTTGTATACAACGATAAGTCACGTGATAAAAAAAGTAAATATAAAGAAAAGATGGCGGGAATGCTGTACGTCTGAGTCGACGGATAATAAAAATTAATCAAAAGAATGATTAACGACAGTTTGATGATCCTTATTCTGATATTCATTCGATAAAAACTCTCTTAAATATAGTAAGTAGTTCATCAAAATAAACGATCACTCCATCAATCCATCCATCTCCTCATTCTTTCTTTTTCTCAACCAGCAAGTTTTCTTTTTACTTTCGACTGTTATCGACAGAATTCCAGAGATTCCATGCCTGTAAATATCAAATAGGAGATCAAATTAGAACAATATATACAACTGAATTTAAAAAACCAATCACTCGATCAATCAATCAATCAATCAATCAATCAATCAATCAATCAATCAATCAATCAATCAATCAATCAATCAATCAATCAATCAATCGACCAACCAGGGAATCAACCAGCCAATCAACCAATCATTCAAACAGCCAACCAACCTGCAAGTCATCACCATGATTCTCATGCACACCCATCTGCCAGCCCTCCATCTCGTGTGGAAACCTCGGATAAGATGAAGAATGGTGATAAAAGAATGAATTCTGCTGCTGTTGAGGTTGCTGAAGCTGCTGTTGTTGTTGGTAATGTTGTTGTGGGTGTAGTTGTGGTGTAAGCCTGCCATGGTACGCAGATGGCAACGTAGAGCCGTTAGGTATTACGTACTGATTGGATGGCTGTTGGTTTGGTTAGTTGGTAGTCAACATTGTAATCATAAACTTTATGCTATTGCATTAAAGGAAACAAGATAACAGATAATTACACCGACTACATTCAACAAATTTTCTAAATTTATCAATATCATCAGCGTTATTTATTCTTGCAAACTTAATTTATGGTCAACACATTTCATAGGATTAGACTTTTGCAAAAAAATTACATATTCACATACAATTAGTCAATAAACAAAAAAAAGATAAAAATGAAACAAAGATTTGATCACATTAATAAATAAATCTTAATAAAATCATCAAACAACCAAACTAACCAAGTTATTAAGGTTTGGACTATAAGCTGGCCCATGGTGGTTGAAGACTTGAGCCGGTCGAGTACTAGCAGCAGCAGCAGCAGCAGCAGCAGCAGCACTACTGCCAACGTTATTGTTGTAAACGTTGTTATAGAGGTATGTGGATGACGGGATGTTCAGCATGGCTGTGTTGTTGTTCAGCTGTTGAGCTGTGTTGGTGCTACTTCTTGACATTCCTGTCCATTCATTTCACGTATTAATTGAAATAATTGAAATAAAATAAACAAAAACATTAAAAAACTTAAGTGAATAATTAAATAAATATTTAAATAATTAAAAATGCAAACAGAAAAAACCTGGATGATAGTTCCATGGGGGTGCTACCATATTGTTGGCTAGATGATCAGCAACAGTAGGACCCACTGGACCAGCAACCATCAAATTAGACTTGGGTACCAGTGGTATGATTGTCGTTACCGAAGGCTGAACTGCCGTGACCAATGATGATAACGGTGATGAAATGGACACAGATGCTAATGATAACGGTGATGCAGAGGATGATGACAATGTCGAAGCAGATGTGGATATTGCGCTGAAAACCAACTGCTTTTTGCTGTTTCGTTCTGTGCCTATGGGCTGTAACTGACCAGGAAACCGTCTCATGTAATGATCGACTGAATACGATTGTTGCCTCTGTTGCTGATAGCTCAGTGTTGTCGTCGTATATGGAGTGAACGAATGCTGATGGATGGATGGTGACTGGTAAATAGACGACGTCGTGTTCACTTCATTAGATTTTACAACAGATTTGTTAGAATCTGTGTTGGAAGAGAGGAAAGGGTTGTTAAACTATGTACTCTATGACGACATAAAACTAGATAAAAATAGGATACTATGAATAAAAAGTCCAAGTTAACCGAACTCACTAGATGCTGCAATGCCTTCACTGAAGCTGAACCTTCTCTGGCTGTATTCCACGGGCATGGAGGTTTGATGGCTGCCTTGGTAACTCAAGTTGCTCCCATCGATGTTCGAATAACCGGGATTAACATTTGGAAACATTTGCAAATCGTTACTGCTATTTATGGGAATGTTTTGTTGCTGTTGTTGATGCATCTTAGGAACGTTTGAAGGGTCGAGATGAGGTTGGAGGTTATATTTCATCCCAGATGAATACATGGATGGCAGATTCGACTTGTAGAACATTTGCGGAGAGATGGATGTTGGCTTGGAGTTGAATTTGGGTGCATTTGGATTGAGCGTGCTATTAACCATCGGAGTGATGATGCTCTGATATGACGAGTTATTATCTATTGCCGCTGCAACTGAGATTGTTGCTGACTCTACATTAGTTGTTTTTATTGAATGTTGTTGTTCAGATGGCAGTAAATAATGATATGCAGACGACGATGGTACTGACTCGTTATCATTAGGAACGTATCTATTACTATCTGAATACTTATCTGAGTTCAGCGAATTGCAGGCAGACACAAATCCTGGAACATTTACATTGTTCTGGAACACTGGTAACTGCTCTCTGGTGGGTGACTGAGATCTATTCTGGAAAGATGGTGGTCTATATCCCGGGGCTTTTGATTTGTCTATGGTCACATCACTATGGGAAGCAATTAAATTGGAAGAAACTATAGAGGAAGATGATGTAGTTACGACGGAATTGTTTAAAAATGACGACCCATAATCACCAAATGGTGAATATTCGGCTGCAGGTTCTTGTACTGCTGATATCGGTGCGATAGACGAGGGTAACTTGCCTGAATATGAATGTAATAATGGCGACTGTGGGTTCGCTTGGTAGCTGAGAAACTGCTGCACACTGGATGAGGTTGAGGACAGCGAAGTTGAATCCGACGTTGATGAAGACGACGTGTTAGCGACACTAACTGCAGGCATTAATGTGCTTTGCGTCATCGACACTGCAGCGGTAGTTCTGATAATAGTTTCTGAGAAAGTAGTAGTCGGAGCATCCTGGGCTTTCACCCATGAAAAATCTTCTTTGGCGTTAGATGGATGATTGCTTGGTGATTGCACATTAGGTACTGAATCGTTTAAATGAGCAAATGAATTAGTTGATCTAATGTCTGACGATTTAGAAACCGATTTCCAAGCTCCGATGGGAAACGTGGTAATGGGTTCAGGTTTATCTTCTGGAACACTGAGACCAGACCCTGGGGCTTTCCCAATGCCGTCTGCCATGCTGTTGTCCCAGACATTAGAACCACTCATATTAAGGGTTGAAATTACTGTTGGTCTGCTGCCACCATAATTGCTGTTAGTTTCTTTGTTGTTTGTGCTTTTTAACCAAGCATTGTTTGTAGTTTTACTGGCTTCGTTGTTTAGTGAGCTCTGCATTTTTCTGCTCTCCCAAACGTTGTTAGGCGGGATAAGACTGACGGATTCCCTCACAGTGCTAGCAATACTAACGCAACTTGGGATGGTGATAGAATTTTTCATCAATAATGAATTTCCAGTTTTCCATACATTGGTAGTTGAAACTTCGACAGAATTTGAGGAAGAACTACTTCCCAACAGACTGACCCCACCCGAGAGTTGTTGTTGCTTAAAAGCTGTAATCAGCTGATCTATGTCCTTGTCAGATTCTCTGACGAGAGCCAATATCAATTCACCTGCTTTGTTAACAGATTCATTCGTACCTCTGATCGTAACAACGGCATCATCGCATGTTTTCAATTTATCTAAATCTATCTTGGCTCCAGAAAATTCTCTAATGGCGTTAATATTGCAACCAGCTCTTCCAATTACTCGACTTACAGCTCTGGCTGGAACATCAACTTTTCTTGTCTTCCTCTGTGGATCTTTATTCAATAAAAATGAATCATCCTTTTTCAAGAGCACACTGTTCGACGACGGAACTATACTCGAGCCAGGAGTAATTTTTTTCTTTACAAATGATTTTGCATTAGTTGAGACATTGTTTAATGCAAGAGCCGGTTTATATGTCACGTGAACGGGAGCTGGTTGAGATGGAATAGTTGACAATAAAGGCTTCTGTGCTGTTGCTACTAGAGTAGTAGTTGAAATACCTGCTGGAGTAACTTTTGTTGTTGCGAGGACACCACTTTTATGCGTGTAACTTGTCTCTTTCAAATTATCTAATGGTAATTTAGCTGATTTTGAATCATTTTTCATCTTCTGCGTTCCTAGAGAAGCCAACAAAACGGGAGCAGCAACAATATTTGTGTGAAGAGTGCTAGGTAATAATGCAAAGTCATCAAGATCACCAATGCCCGATAATTTGGTCTTCAAGAGAGGGATTGAATCTTTTCGAGATTTTTCAGGGCACTGATTTAATTGAACCTTTGACTCCTGTAGAGGCAATCCAGACGTAGCTGTGTTTGAAGCAATTCTAACTTTTACCTGATCTTTGTGGTTTGGAACTGGTGTACTTTCTTTCACATCAGAACTTTGGTGGCCTCTATCGATTCTATTACTTTTTCTTTTCTTGTTATCAATAGTGTTGGTATCTACGCTAGAATTAGTGGTTGCACTACTCTTGCTAGCAATCAAACATTTAGGGTTGTTCTCTTTGCCAGCAACATCTTCATCTGAAGCTGTCAGTCTGCTGCTAGGTTCTGGTTTATCTTCATCACTGACTCCGGGCGAAGCACTTGAATTTGCAGTTTTCACATCAACTGAACTGTCTCTGGCCGTATTACCATTGTTGTTAAGATTGCTGCTGTTTGGTGTTGTAGACCCAGAAGCAAACCTATCTTTCTTTTTCTGTTTTCTTTTCTCCCTCTTTTTTTCCCTAGCGGCTCTTTTTTTAGCTTCCAATTTTTTCTCTTGCTGCAGTTCATTCAACAGGATAGTTGCATTCTCATATGCCTTCATGGCTTGTGCTTCTTTGGCTTTCTTAATAATTTCCAGGCATTTCATGCAGCTATTTTTTAACTCTGGTTTATCTATCTCGGAAAATGATTTTAAAAGTTTCCCACATTCTGCATCCGATGGTAACTGACTAACTTGAGACACTAGATATTTGACCACTTTTTCAGAGCCTTTTTTTAAGGCAGCTCCAAGACATGAAACCTTCCTGTTATCGATAGAGTCAACATCTGCTCCTTTGTTAACAAGTACTTTAACCACATCCAGGTGACCAGCATTGCAGGCCATCCACAGAGCAGTCATGCCTTTTTTATTTTTCACATCAACAGGAGCATTTCGACTGAGAAGAAGTTCAACAAAAGCACAATGTCCTTTCTCAGCAGCTATCCCAAGTGCAGTATCTCTTGATGTTGAAAGTGGGATGGCACCAATATCAGCACCTCTATCCAATAAAATTTTTCCAACCTCAACATAGCCACCTTGTGCTGCTTCCATCAGCGGTGTCAAACCTGCTTTTACTCGATGCTCTAAATTGGCCTTTCTATCAGCCAACAAGGAAACAACTTCGTGTTGACCTTGATAACAAGCTAACGTCAGAGCAGTATTCCTGTTAGTTTCAATCTGTGCATTCACATCACTGCCTCGATCCAGCAGGATGGAAACAGCTTCTGCATGACCATTCATAGCTGCTAGCATCAAAGGAGATATACCCAACTTGCTATTAGTTCTAGAGTTTATTTCAGCTCCAAAATGCAGCAACAATTCGATGACATGAACATGACCCCCAGAAGCTGCTTGGCACAGTGGAGTGTAATCTGATACATTTCTGTGTTCTAAATTAGCATATCCTTTTCTTGCAAGAATGTCGACTACTTTCGCATAACCACTTGCACAGGCCAAACTTAATGCAGTGTCTTTAGTTCGTTCAGTTTCAGCTTCAACATCCGCTCCATTTCCGACTAGTATTTCAACTATTTTACTATGACCAAAATTGGCTGCATGCAAGAGTGGAGTAAAACCTGGAAATTTTAAAAAGCAATGTCATAGTACTATTTAAATGATAAGAGCCAGATCTTTCAATCACAAACAATTAATCAATTAATCACTAACCTTTTTTATCTCTGTGCTCGATGTTAGAGCCCTTAGATAAGAGTAGGCAGACTAATTCAACATGTCCTCGAGAACATGACAAGGTCAAAGCTGTTTCCAAGTTTCCTACTGTTTGAGCCTCAAGTTGTGACTTTATTGGTTCACAATCAGAATTAGACCCACACTGATCGACACAATTAGCTAGGTTACAGCCGTTAGAACTATCGCTAGTCAATTGATGATGTTGTTGTAAAGAATGCTGAGAAAACTGTTGCAAACTATTGTTATTCATGGTCTTGATGGAACGATGAAGCGAACAAACAGTCTGGTGGTGGTGCAACCTGCAACATTTATCATCACCGGGATGTTGACGACCGGCGGTTGAGATAGGAGGACAGGTCTGACATTCCAACTGACTGCTCCTGTCCACTTCCTCCATGGTCTTCATGGCTTTCAAACAACCACACATGCCACATGTCTCTTCATCGTGGTCCAAATGGTTGTGACCACACAGAGGTACTGATGACGATGATAATGATGATGAGGCAGATATAATCGATGTTGCTATGGTGTTTGATCTTGAATGTTTTTTGTCTGCTTTCGTTTTAGCTGGTTGATAGAAAATATAATATTTGTAAATATAGTAATTTGGTCTATCAAAACATTCAAAATTAATAAAACACTAACGTATATTAGCTGAGCTGAGCGAGGAAGTGATGAAATGTTTCAGATGATGACCATCATTGAATCGCAGCTCTTGATGTGAGGAGGAAAATGGTTTCTTCTGGTGTTTCAGGCGCTGTTTCTTTAATGCCAACATGCCACCACTCTGTAGTGTTTAAATTTATTGCTAATATCTTGAGCTAAAAATAATAAAATTTCTGTGTTTTTAAGTCACACCTGCTTAATGATTCAACATTCATCTCCAGGGCCACACTGAACATTTAATATAACATCTGAACATTTAATACAGCACGCAAACACAACATGCTAACACAGCAAACAGATGCTTAATCATACTTTATGCTCATGCTTCCACTTTTGATTTGGGTGACCAGCACTAACTAATGAACATGGTTGCAGGTTGCGATACTGCTTGACGTACAGCGCTTTCATCCCGTGCTTAACACTACATTCGGTCTCCTCGTAATCTTCATCCTCTTCCTCGTCGTCATCATCGTCCGAGTTGTCTGACGAAGATGCTGGCAATCATGATCATTGATGATTGTAGAATTATATATATAATTAAGTATTGACAATTAAGATAGTGAACAAACTCACTGAAATAGCACGGTGACAACGAATAATTTTAATGTTTCCTTATTATAAAAATAACATAAAATAAAAAGTAGCTCTGATACAGTGAAAATGGTTGAGTTAAATAAACCCTGCACATATGAACAGAACGTGTATGTAGAACAAATTAAACATCCCAGGAAATTTTCTCAGAAAATATTGGCACTTTCAATGTTTCTGTGAGAAGATGCAATACTCACAGGCGAACTTGGCATTTTCTTGATTTGTTGCATTTCTTAATTCAGGTTCACTAACTAACATGATAGCTTTTGATCCAACTGTAATTAGTAATATTTTGATCAAGTTTGACAATCTTACCATTGAACTTGGTAAATTTCAGATCCTTATATACTTTTACTTTCCAATGCAGATCACCGAACATTTAGTTCAGTACAGGTAAGGTATTTTCTATAATATTCCAGCACTTTCCAGATTATAACAACAGCCTAACACTAAGGATTAAGTACATTCATGAACATATGTATATTTAGACTGACGATAAAAATGACTGCAATTACTCATAAACATCAAAATCCCAACCACCATTCTCGTTAGAGCCGCAATGCGGTTTCAAACCGGTTTCAAACGCGGCTTTGCAAATATTGCGGTTTGCGGATTTTGTCTGCGCGGTTTGCCTCGGATGCGGATTTAAGTGCGTTTTTCAAAAACCGACCGCAAAATTTAATTTTCAAAAAGTTTCAAAATAAAAAAATTTTGTCTTTTCGTTTGTTTGCATATATGTACATGTGTGAGTATGTACGTGTATTTCATGACCATAGCTGAGCCTCTCTGGGGTCCACGTTGCAACTTGTGTTATACAAAAAGTATGCGTAAAGTGTATCTATCTTTGAACAAACAAGGAATCAACATAGTAGAGTAGACACAGTATATATATTTGAGCATCTGGTTACATACACAACGTATCAATTCTAAGACTGAAGATGGTATAGAAATACAGATAAAAGCTACCATTAGAAAAATCGAAAAATTAAACAGGAAGCTAATTAACGTCTGACAAGCTGTGATTTTCATCAATAATTGCATTTCTGACAGTCTTAATCCTATATATATATATTTTCAAATTTATATATATATATATAAATGACATAACATCTTCATAAATATTAAATAAACAAATAGCTTGTTTGAGTCCAGCATCGTCGTTCATTTTGTGCTCGATGTTCTGGCCGATGTTATTTCAACTATTAAATTAGAAATTTATTAAATTCTTCTTTAATAGTTGTTTTGATTATGATTATATTATAAATAAATTGCTATCTAGTATTGCTATCTTCTAATTTTAAACATGAGATTAAGGCGGCCGATTTAAGTTGCCTTTACGTGGGTGCAGTGCGGATAATGAGCAGTGCGGATGCGGGCGATTGCGGACGTTAACTCAGCAGATGCGGGCGCTTGCGGTTCGGAAAAATCCTCTCTGCTTGGGGCTCTAATTCTCGTCAGCATCCAACTTTCACAACTACCTACCTTGTGAGTGGGCATTCTGTTCTTGAGTGGAATCACATGCTGCTGCATATGTTGCCATGGAGACAGGCACATTGGGCAAATCCTTGGTGATGAACTAAATGGCAATGTAATGAAAATGTTAAAATTATAACGACAGAATATCAAATTTATTAATACATCAATTTAATTAATTTTTTGAATGAGAAACATACAAAATTGATGAACTAAAAAAAACAACAAATATAAAATATAAGTAAGCTAAGAAGATGAGCCAGCAAGCAGGTCAGCCAACAAACAGACCTGATACTCCTCCATACTTCTTGCCCCAGCTTCCTCACAATCAATCTCTCCATCATCAATGAAGAGATTGCTGTTCAGGCAGGTCAGTCCATCAAGAGGTTCATTGTCAAACATTAAAGCAGCCGCTGATGGATTGTTAGCTGCAGCAACTGACGATGGTGAGGATGATAATGGAGTTGGTGATTCACCCATCAGCCAGTTGAAGAGTAGCTTAGCAATATCAGCATGACCTCCTTTGGCTGCCTCTATCAACATCGTCGTACCATCCTATATTTACAATTATCGTACCATCCTATATTTACATCACTATGTACATTTATTTAAAATTTTAATTTTTCACAGAAAGCAGTCACGAGTGTCAAATACTATTAAAATTGAAATAAATTAACTATAGAGAATGCCTAACAACCTGAAGTTTGAAGAGAGGATCGGCATAGTGTTTAAGTAACAAATGCACGACGTGTACATTTCCACTGAACACTGCTGCTGACAACACTGTCTCCTCATTGTTGTTTGTTGATTTGTTCACGTTAGCACCTTTGCACAAAAAAATATAATCATCAAATTAAATATTCAAATTATTTTGTTTAGTTGGCTGCATTGTTGCATGCATATTAAAACTGTTCAATAAAGTTTGAGGCAATAGAAATAAATTATATGAACGTTACGTAAGATATATAGTTGAAAACGTCAGCTGTAAATTGAAAGAAGAGCTGCACTGAACGTGCCTACCTTGTTCTATGAGATACTGTACAGTTGAGTAGTGACCATGTTTTGCTGCCAATAATAAGGCTGAGTAACCTCCTTCTATCTCTCTATCCTAGTGTTGCAAAACATAGAAAAATTTATTTAGCCAATGGGAAAAAATTGTGACAGAAGTGTAAAAAGTGACAAATATATATTAAAAAACAAATCAATAAAAAATAATGCTCCAATTCCTTTGAACAACTTAGCAAATTATAAAACAAATGAATGAACAATAATATAACAGACCACAACAGCTCCATGCATGACAAGTAACTCAGCAATCTGTCTCCTTCCGTGTTTGCAGGCCAGCACGAAGACATCATGATCAATTTTTGTTCTTGTGTGAATGTTGGCACCTTTTGACAAGAGAATAAAAATTAAATAATAGTTAGCTATAAAAACAAGTCACAGAGATGGAGAAAATTATTAGCTATTAAAAGTTTGGATGTCTTTAAATAGTTTTTCTTACCATAAAAAAGCAAGAGCAATATTTAAGGATATTAAGAAATAAAAAACAATACTACAAAATGAATAAAACAAAGTGAGAGTAAAATAGAATACCCTTGGATATAAGAAACTGGACCATGTCAATGTGGTCCTCCCTGGCAGCTTCCATCAGTGGAGTCAAACCCTCATCATCCTTCTCTTCAATATCTGCCCCATGATTCAGCAACAGGTCAGCAAATTCAATATGTCCACCACAGGCAGCCAACGTTAAGGGGGATTCAAAACACTGAGGGGGCATGTTTACCTATGCATGATTGTGGATGTATGTTTCTTTTGGATCAAGTATATGCATAAATTCAATTAATACCATTATAATTATTGTTATTTTTATTATTTGTTATTTTATTTAAATTATTATATTTCCTGTTGCACATGTTTTTCTGTCACTCTATCTACTACAACCCACTGCAATACTTTCTATTTAACTTAAATTTTAATGATAACTAACAATGAATAAAAAAAATTTTAATAATAACAGAGTACAGTAATAATGACCAATGCAACAGTACCAATAATGACAAAAGCCTTGTATTATATCAAACCAACCCAGTAAATAAATCTAGAGGTTTCTGCCAATGCATGAACTTGTTAGAAATAAAAACAGGCAAACAACAAAACAGCAACTGACCTGCACTCCAATGTCGAGAAGCAACTTTCCGACTTCAACATGGCCCCCCATGGCAGCCTCCATGAATGCTGTGTGCATCTCCTCAGTCTTGTGGTCGCAGTTGGCACCATTGTTTAACAAAAATTTTACCATTTCTAACTGACCTGTATGTGCATGTGAGTGTCATCAGATGGCTGTTTCAACTATTTACAAACATATTTTTATGCAAATGTACATGATATTTTTGTGAAATGTTTGTGAATGAATTGGTTTAAAAACTCGCACTATTTGTATAATAGTATGATATATAAACAATTAATTATATTTTCATGTTGCACATAATAAAATTAAATAAGAAAGCAAATTAAATGACCATGTTAAATTAGATACTCCTGCAAATTTTCAAATGTTAACATCAATGGTGAAGACAAATAGCACCACGAACCCTTATAAGCAGCGAGAGTAAATGCAGTTTCTTTGAAATCATTGCTGTACTGGTTGACTCCAGCACCACGTTCAATGAGGAACTTGGCAACTTCAATGTGACCCCCACAGGCTGCCTTCATCAGTGGTGTGTGGCCATTCTCGTTGTGCTCTTCGATATTCGCATTGTACTGTAGCAGCAGCTTGACAACTTCAAGGTGTCCACAACTGGCAGCCAGGTGTAGGGGGGTGTCAGCTAAATTTATTAATTATGAATTTTAATTATTTGTTTGATGAAATTGCAACATTTCTATCTCATATAATGATGAATCAGAATACATAAAACGTTCACAAAACTCACACAAGAAGACTTCTTTGCAAAAAAACATAATAAACAATGCTAACAAAAAAACAAACCATCAATTATAAACACAAAATATGCTAACAATCGACAGATTTTGCATTGACATTGGCACCATTTCGACAGAGTAGATCAACAATGTCGACAAAATTCTGTTCAGATGCTTCCATCAATGGTGTATAATTGTTCTTAGAACTTCTATCATCTACGTTCATGCCCATTTCAATCAGGCACTGTGCATTTTTATGTGATTATACATTTATTATTAATAATGAGAGGCCAATCATTGTCTGCATGTAAGTGTGCACAACAAATATGAATGAAAAATGTAATAGAATTATTACTTCTTCAAGAAAATTTGTAAAGTTGAAAGCGCATATAAAATAATGTACACAATATCTTATGATAAAACCTTGGACATTATTATATTCAATATTACTTTATCATCGTTCATGAATTATATCGAAAGACATTTAAAAGTATTCATTCAAAAACTTCTGTTGCATTTAGAAAACACAACACAACAGTTTAGTGCACAACACCATATAAAAGCTAGCATATTGCATCTACTGCCAGGTACACACAACGTAAAACAGTTTAATGCATTTCACAGGTGAATATTTTTCTCCATTGTGGCTTAGAAACCATCATTATTTTACAATTAATTTTTTTACTTCATTTCCATCTACTGAAATAATCTTGACAATGATCAAAAAACCAGAAAATAAAAAAATTGCAACAGAGAATATTTGTTTATCAATATCTACTACAATCTCTGATCAAAGTATAATAATGATGTTAGTCATATCTTTGATGGCTATGAAGAAATTATTAATATTAAAGTAATAACGATGAAAATGATCATGTTGCCCATGGTGAATATTTTGATAGAGCTAAGGTGAACAAAGAAAATTTATTAAAAAGTGATAACAAGAAACATCTCTAATTATATCATCTTTACTCATCTATATCAAATCATGACATCAACAAAGTGTCAACATAACTTTAACATAGATAATAAAAAGATGAAAAATCATCATTATTAAAATTTCAGCAATAATCACCTAAAAATCACTGTTTTTAAACATTGCCAACAATTTTTTTACATCACCATCATAACCTTGTCATCATCAACCAACCTCACAGAGAGTATAGCATCCTTGTGTCGCAGCTGAACAGAGAAGACTGTCAGACGACTCGATTTTTCCATCTTCATCAGTGATATAACGTGTAACAAGATCTATGGCATCCAAATCCTTCATCTCACAGGCCCGCCTCAAAAAGCCTCTGCTTGTATTGGTTATTTGCTCATTAATGCATTATACATTTCAATTCTCAGTTTTCAGTGTTCACTTTTTTAGTTGCATTAAAGGACAATTAACTTAATTTAATTTTAAACTAATTTAAGGTTAATTTAATTTTAAAATATTCATGAATATAGAGATATTTGGAAACAGTAAATCTTGAAATGACAATGGGATTGTTGTCAGTTGAAATAAAACATTTAGTAAAAATCTGTTGTACAAACCTAATAAAATATTGACAAATATGAATAAATACCAAGAGTCAAATATCAAAAATATAAATATCAAATAAAAACTAAGTGATGAATTTAATATGAATATTAACAGAGTTGCACATAAACTAAGATATACTTCATTAAAAATATTAACAAAGCAGGGAATAAACTTACATTATTTTCAGCTGCCTGTTGATCTCACTGACTTCCTCTGAAGTTTCAACACATCTGACAAGTTGGTAATTTAAACAATTTAAATAATAAGATGAAAAATTCAGACATTCAGTAAGGTATATTTCATTGAAAAAATCTATTTCATGTTGAAATTACAATATACTTTCTTCCAATTTTACAAAAAAACTTAATCAATATAATTACAACAATTGTTTGAAAATTTTCATACCACATAATAATATCAATAAACAATTATATAAGACATATTTTCTTAACTTCATACTCAAAATATATAAGAAAAAATACCAACTTGTTCATGCGTCGCTTCTCTAATTCTTTTTCCGAGTTTGCGAGTGATTCGTTTAACGATATGAAAAACTGTGAGACCGACGAATCTTTCATATCAAGCGTTGAAAAGTCTAACACACCTGAAAATGAGGATTGCTAAGTTTTCAAACATGCAACATTAATTTAATCAGTACATTTTAAAAAATCTAGAAAAATTTTTAAAAAGAAATGCTCCAGAAAAAGTTATTTTTGAATAATATAATGACGCTGGAAGTTTATACTAAATCTTCCTTTGATGTGATAACACATTAATAATCTAAGTCACAACTGACCAGCTAACATTCTAGAATAACTTCAGTTTAGTTGATATGTAAATTTATATCAAAAAATATTCCTTAATTCAATTAGAATTAAAATTGAAGAAATAACCAGAAGCTTCAATAATATCTCTGAAACGTCCTTTGTTACTCAACTCCCACAGTGAATTGTTCAAACTTTGGTTTGATTTGGACTGAGCAAACTGTTGGTAAAAAGCATTAAGTTTCAAAATTTCAATGTTCTAGTAACTTTATAGAGTTTAAAAACTAAATAACATTAAATTAGGCTAAACCATATTAAATAATTAAAAAAAATATATTAATCAATTGTTTATTAACCATGTCATACTAAAAAAAAACCTGAATAAAAAAAACTCTAATAAGTTAACTAGATTATCATTTCATGAAACAAAGAGCTTAGTTTAATTGAATTAAAATTAAAATTGAGAAAATAACTGGAAGCTTTAACTTTCTGAAACGTTTTTTATTACATATATAGATTATTATTTCATTAAAAAAACAGCTCAGTTTAATTTGAACAGTTTTTCAATTATATTACAATGAAAAAAAATTAAATTTTTTATAAATTTGTAATAACCTTATTGCCAATTTTAAAATGATAGTTAAAAAATATGTCTAGATGCACTAGGCTCTTATACATATATGATATTTGGGTTCATGGACTAGAAACATATATAGATATATTATATATATATATATAATATAGATTTTTATACCAACAGGAAACATTGTACAAATGTAAAAATAATAAACATTGATACTGATAGAAGAGATAAATACCATAGCATAGATACTAGATACAGATAGCATGCTGCATAGTTCCAAAAAATCATAACAACTAATCATTTAATTTAATTAAGTCTAACAAAGAGCAGCCATTAAATTTCAATAAATTTAGTAAAAATTTTTATTTTATTTATGACCTTTAATAAATTTTGATCATTAATCTCATCTTCACTATTTTCATCCTCGCTTTCAGTCAGACAATCAATTGTCTCCTGACGACAGGAACGATCGGAATCAGTACTCGAACTGGACGACTGACTCAGTGCAACGCTCCGATCATTGTTCGACCTGGAGGACGTAGAAACTCCCAGACCCATGGCAGCCGTACTAACTCCGTTTGTTTTGTTATTCTGTCGATGATGTCGATTGCTCGCCGATTTTACGACAGAACGATCCGCATTCTGCATCCTTAATTATAAATAACTATAAAATTGTCAATTATCGGTCCGTTTTTAATTTTTTAAATTTATCAAAAAATATTTGAAGTCGTTAAAATCGAATAATTAAAACGCGCAAGCAAGCAGGCATAAAGACAGACTCCGATAATGTAATAGTGTGTCGCTGTCGAAATGCCCGGATGCCCGATTGTACCGCCATCTATAATATTTAAAAAAATGAAATAAATGCTGTTACATTTTTAGATTTAATAAATTAATCAAATAATTTAATACAATATTAAGAAACTGAAGTGGTTAATTTAAAAAAGCTGAAACCTGTATTTTCTGAAATTTTTATACTAATAAAATTGAATAATAAATACGAATTATTTTCACGTGATTGGTCTCGTTTGATATAGGAAATTTTAAAATATGTACAATATGCATACAAAAAACTGTCTTGTATCATATTTGTTAACTTGAAATAACAAAAACATATTACAAAACATGTTTGGGTATCTATTTTATACGCGTATACCTTCGATAATAAAATGTAATTTTTAAAAACTATGATAATAACACGTAGGAATGTTAATTAGTGCATTTTATGTTCATCTCCATTTACCCGCTAAGTACCTTACTAGATAGATTCAAACTGATAATGGTTAGTTTTTTTCTAACAATAATTATAAGAGTGAATTTTGGTACTTATATAGGAACAAATCCTAATTTTGTGGGTAAATATAGTTTATTTATTTTTTTTGACAATCAATGCTTGAATTACAGAGATTTTCATAGTGAACCTTTACGAACTTCGCAAATGCAAATGATCTGAGTATATGGAACTATGTAATATTCTGAGTATATGGAGCTAAGTAAGTGGAACTACTCTGAAAATATATGTGTGTAATGTGTTATCATCATACTTTCGGTTTACTTGTTTATTACACATAATCACATGACAATTGTTAAAAATTGGTTTTACAGGGTCTTAAATATAATTAGATACATGAATATATGTACATATCTGTGTGTCTCGTGATTATAACATCTTTTAATCATAACTCTAAAACGTTCTACCTGATTTGCAACAAAAATAAAAACATATGAAAAGATAAATATGAAAATAAAAAAGAAGAATAGATATTAATTAAGACAGAATACTAAACATAAAAATCAGACCCTCTCTATATATGTATTGTCGCGGCAAACACAATTCAACAAAGTTATTGTTAGTAAGTGATTTGTAAAGCAAGAAAACAGGCACTCATATAATTTAATTAAATAAAACTTATTGAAAACGAATCAGACAAAAAAAATATAAAAAATGCTTTGAAATGTAGAAAAATCAGTGATAAATATTTACTTTTTTATAAAATATGCGATACTTTTTAATGGAACGAAAAGTGCTTTCAGAAGTTTTGGACCAACGTGAACTTCATCGTTTAATTTATCTTCCCAGAGTCCCACTGGCAAGTACACATCTCTGTACTGGCTGAATTCTTCCAGAATCGGTGCTACTAATATTTTGTCACCAATCAAAAATTCGTCCCTGCATTTTAAGGCTTCTGGGTCTTGCGGGGAAAGCCACCATATTGGTTTAATGATTGGCTCTGTAACATCTGTCGTCTCATATGCTCTTATTAGCTCTGGTATGATCAACTTTTTGCGCAACTCTATAAGTGCCTGCCAGTTTTCGAGGACATCTTGTCCATAGTAGTCCGGTGGAATAGACAAATGCATGAATGGCATGAACGCATTTAATTGGTTCCATCTAACAAAAAGTTCTTTATTAGGAACGCTTGGCACGGAATAACCTCCAGAAGCCTCCGGTAAAAATATTCTATGGCCAATAAGACCGAGATTAAAAGCAGTTGGTATGATAGAACCTAGACCGTCTAGAGAGCTCCAAGTTGATTTAAGTTTTGTTAACCTTACCAAAATAAATTCTTTTTGCGACCGGTAAGCCGATTCAACTGGGACAAAATTACCAAATTTTGATGCAAGTTTTGCGTACCTTTGAGTATATTGGTTGAGATCGAACATAGCATCTTTGAAGAAAGGCTTGGCCGGCAAAGATGATACTTCGCCGCCCGCAAAATGGTAAAGGTCAATGGAATGTTGTTTTTGAAAAGCTTTCAATCTTGAGTATTGCCATGATGTCGCGTTCTTTGAGAGGTCCAACACTCCAGCCACACCAGCACTAATCCTGATAAAGAAGTAGATTAATTAAATCGTAAATCTTTTACATTTTATATTTAATAATTTACACACAAAAATTTTAAAAGAACAACGTACATGACATTTTATGCAAATATTAATAAAATCATGTCACAAAGTTGCTGTCTCACTTATTAATTTGACTTTCAATGGACCATTTAGTTAGACCGGGAACGCTGCCACTTGAATCTTTAACGAGGAGACCATTTTGAGTAGCGTAATGAAATGATGAACTATCCGTATTTATTTGAGGATGCACCACCAAAGACACTTTAAAGTTGAGCATGTGCAGTTGGTTAATAAGGCCCTTAGAATCATTACACTTATTTGAGTCAAATAGTACATCTCCATAATGATATTCCCAACCATCGTCAACTAGTAACGTTCGACAATTGTACGATTTGTTGTGGTAGTTAGTAGCAAAAGATAGCAGCTTGATTTGATCGTATGAACTTTTGAAATATGGACCTGTTGAAAGGAAATGCTCATCAAACAATGGTGCTGAATAATTCAATTTTTGTTTGACATTCAAATCTAAAACAATGGGCATGGCAATTTTATGGACCGATTTTATGTCAGGTGCCACACAAACTGTGTATTTTAAGTCAGCAAAGTTATCCTCGTCTTCAGTTTTTGAATCAACGTACAAACAAAATTGGCCGTCTGTTTTGTTACTATCTGCAGATAATTTTGCATTTATGCTAATGTGCAGCGATGAATTATCATTGGCTATTATAGCAACACCTTTAGAATTTAGCCAATATCTTTCCAAAACTGGACCAAAAACATCTCGACGGGAAGAATTGCCGGAGAGAAACGGTTTTTTATTGAATGACATTTTTTCTAACGGCCAATTATAGTTATTTATCAATCCCCCGCCGAACCAATGAGAGTCTCCAATAGCGAAACAGTCTTCTTGATCGAAATCCCAACCTAGAGTTGTTCTAGAAATTTCGTAGCAATGAGATGTGTTTTGTGATTGGTCATGTAAGTTTTTTATGTTCAATTTCAGCGCGTTCTTCCAAAGTAAACAAAGATCACCTGCTGCACTTTCAGCTTCTGAACAATCGTATGGCAGTTTGTCTTTAGGCCTGGATTTCCATAGAGTTCCTTTCAATACTTGTTCTCCTAAATAATTGCTTATAGATAGGTCAAGAGTTTTTTCATTGACGATGATTTTTGGTCCCTTGTAAACGTAATATAATTCCTCCTCGTAGAAGTGATAGATGACGATGAGACCAACAACGATGAGCAAGAAGAGGAAGATGACAAAGATTAACAGCTTTTTCTCGCTTTTTTGTTTAGTCACCAAGCTGTCACATTGGAAAATTCTCCACGGTTTCTTAGCCTGCTTTGCTTCTAGCATTTCCTGTTGTGAATTTATTGCATGCATCTATATTGATACCGATATGTCATTTTGCGACAAAATTTTTAAATAGATATATATTTGAACAAGTCGTTTGAAAAATAATTTTCATCGAAAGTGCAGTGGCGTGAATCAGGTTGATATGTTTATCAAAAGTATACAACATCATATGATTTGCAACACTTGCTATTAAATAACAATAAATCGTTGAAAATAATAAAAAATAACATCAACTGTCAATAAATACACGTTATGTTTTTATGAACTCATTAAAAATTACCGCATCACAGATCACCTGCTTGAGTTTCAGGAGATTTTTATAATTTTTTTCATAGTCTTTGTTGGATATGGGATCTTCTGTTTCCGGTAGAGTGTCGATGGTGGCCGTTTTATCTTCTGCTTTGGATGGAGGTGATGATGGAATGGTTTGCTGGAGTAATGGTGATGATGACGATGAAGCTGCTGGGAGTGGTGGTACTGATGATGATGATTGAAGTATTGATGATGATGTTCTTGATGAAGGTGATGATGATGTTGATGGAGATGTTGGTGGAAGTGGCAGTAATTTATCCCAGGCATGCATGTTGGTTTCCGGTTGGTCAGCTGTTGATGCGTTCATACGTTGGATGAATGGCTGTTCATTTATTAAGTTTTAGGCATTTTAATCGATCGATGTGAAATAGGTTGAACAACATATAAAAATATTATTAACAATAACAACATTCTTTCTATTTTGTAGTGAGTTGATCAGCTTAATGAAATATTGAAAAATATTCAGTTGTCATGCTATAAAACTGAGTGTATCTGTAACATACATCAGTGATCACGAAATTTAATAGATATGATAATAATGGCAAATTTGCAAACATTCTCAAATATTTTGTCATTCAAAACAATTTAAAAAATTAATAAAATAAAGTTTTATTAAAATGAACCAAACTCAAAATTAAAGTCGTCAGATGTAAAAATACTCACTTAAGGCGTCTAATTATACAGGTGAAGATCAGCTTTTGATTAAAAAAAATTATTTTCAGATAGATAAATAATGTAATTAATTAAATATACAAATCAATAATAAATAAATTGATCTAAATAAATTTAACGAAAGTTTATGTTTTTCAAATAACTCAAGTGCATATTTTTGGTTAAACTTCAAAAATTTTCAAGTGATAACCCATTGTAAAATGTAAGAATAAACTAAGAAATTATACTAAGAGTATATATATATACATAGTATATATTAGATATATATATATATATATATATATATATATATATATATTTATATTTATATATATATATATAATATATACCTGTGTATATTATATATATGCATGTGTATTATATTATACACATATAAATGTGTCTATATTACCGATATCCTAAACAATCAAGTATCAATTATAGTGATATAAGTAAGTATCAGTAGAAATTTTATTTTAACCATAAAGAATGTTGATGACTGCTGCATATGTGTGTATTTGTGTGGCGTGATTTAAGATAATGGTGGAAGATAATTATAAGGATAATGATGGCGGTGTCGTTATTTTGGTGTCGTCAATTATAAAGAAGACGATGACGATGATGAAATTATTATTATTAATGTAATTATAATCAATATTATTATTATCGACATTATTATTTTGATTTTAATTATTTTATTACAAATATTTCTCAACCTGTTATCCTGAACTATCTAGCTGATCAGATCGTACCAGATCAACGCGAATAACGATCTCACCGATTTATGTCTTGACTTGGATTTTAAATCATTAAACACACTGTGCATACAAACAATATTATACACATATACATACACACACATATACATCACATATACATTCATACACATATACATACACACATATTCATATATACGTTGATGTTGTCATTCCAGATTGCTATTTATATGGTTTAGATTTGTATAAGTGTGATAATGAGAATTATAACGATGTTTTTTTTTATTTTTATACACACGCACATACATATGTATATACACACACACACATATACACACACATACACACACACACATACACACACATACATTGGTATGTATGCATGTATACTGATATATTTTTGTATGCGTAAATTTATTATATCTCAATCTATTGTGTATTTTAATTCAATGTCAACCGACCATTGATGACCTATGAGGAAAATCATACTGCATAATGTGTTTGTTGTTGTATGTGTTTGTATGCGTTCAAGTATTTACTGTGCACTGTATGTTTGAATGTGTTGTATATATATTTATATCATAATTACATGTGTGTGTGTATGTGCGTGTGCATGTATGTGTCTGTGCATGAGTGTGTGTGTTATTGCAAATGTTGTGTGTGTGTGTATGTGTGTGTGTGTGTGTGTGTGTGTGTGTGTGTGTGTGTGTGTGTGTCTGTCTGTCTGTGTATTGGTTGCAAACGTATGTGAAAACACCAAAACACAGAAATGATAAACTAGCGCGAGATAATTATAATATTAGTGATGGGTGATAGACTATTTATTGAAACGTTGTTTATGTAGATAAAATAAATTAATTAAATGAAATAACAACCATAAAAATAGTCATTTTTTTTATTAGCGTTGCTGAGTAAGTAAAGAGAATGAAATAAATAAATGATAAAAATAATTATATACTACTATATCGAACCAAATTGACAACTGCTTATTGTCGTTGTTTTGATTTTGTTTTAATTGATGTTGTTGTTGTAGTTGATGTTGTTGTTGATGTTGTTGTTGTTGATGTTGTTGTTGTTGCTGCTGATGCGGCTGTGTTTGAATGTGTTTATAACCGGTCAATATAATTATTACAAACATCATCATCATTCTTTCCAGCTAACGGCTACCAGATACAAAATAAAGAACTTTTTTTAAAATCACAAACATCATCATCACCGTCATTTGCATCATCTTTGTTTGTCATCAATCATTATCATCATCCTCTCCACCACCATCATCATCTAGTCGCCATCATCATCGTCATCTTCTTCTTCATCATCACCGATCATTTTTTCAAACAATCATGCTTGTTCGTATCAATTATTGCCACCATCAAAACATGATATTTATTTTATATAAATACGTATGCAGAAAAAGCGCTGACACAGACACACACCACACACACCCACATACGCACGCACACACACATATAAAATCATACATTTGAACATGCACATTCATACACAATAATCATCATCATCATCATCGTCACCATCTTCATCATCATTATCATTATTATTATCATCATCATTATTATTATCGTCATTATTATTTTTTTTATTATTATTATCATCATCAGCCTCATCATCTTCTTTTTCGCCGATTCTAACTAGTTTGAGCTGAACATGTGACCACAATTATCAACTCAACAACTTGTTATTATTATTATTATTATATTATATTATTATTGTAATTATTATAAAGATATATACATATATATATATATATATATATATATATATATATATTGTATAATGTATGTAATGTATTTATATTGTAATTACTAATAGACATCCGTTCTTGTTAATTTTTATAACACTTCACCGTAAATTCTTTCAGACTTTGTAAATATTTTAAAATTATAATAATGCATTAAATGTCATTAAACATAGGAATAATAATTTTTTGAATCGCAAATCTTGTAAATAGAGATAGATAAAAATAAATAGATAAAAGCAATGAAATGTACATTTCAATAGAGGAAAATTAATTAGCAATTAGATCGATAATTAATAAATAACATTAATTAATAATTAATACTAATATAATAAAAATTTAAAAAAATAAATAAAATAATATGGATTCTTTGAACTTTAACCTGAGCAGCGGTTTTTTGGAGGGCATTGTGCGTGGTTTCAAGGGGGGCATACTTAAACAATCTGATTACCTGAACTTCATGCAGTGCGAGACATTGGAAGGTCATTTGTTAATTCATTATTATGTTTAATAAGGTCATTTTGGTTTATTAACATGCTGTTTATATAAATGTCATCATAAGTTTATCATGTTTAATAATTGTTGTTGTTTTGTTTATGTTATCTATGTATGATGATGTTTTTTAAAATAATAGTTTAGTAGGTTTATGTTTAAAGTTATGTTTGCGTTTATATGATAATGTTTTTGTTATATGTTTATTATGTTAATAAACGAGTTAGTTAAATCTCGTAACACCGTTCATTCATTCAGGATGTAAATGTAAATTTAACTCAAGATTTTTGTTTATGCTGCTTAAATTTTGCTGTCTCTATATACAAGTATTTTTTGTCTGTTTAACGTTATTTATATCTGTTAGCTATAGTATTTTATCTAGGACGCAGCCTGTCTGTAATGTAATGTAATGTATGGACATTTGATGTAATTGGTGGCCTGTAATATATAACACTGATGCAGGCTATTATATACATTCATAAATACTTAAACACATACACATTCACGCATACACAATCTCTTAATTTAATGATACGGTAATAATTTGATTGTTAATCAATTGTTTCGTTAATTTAAAAAGATTTGAATTAATTAAATTGAAAGTTTTTGATCCATTTTGACATTGGCGACCGTGAAAAATTAAATTTTAAACATTTGGTAAACGTTTTTCTGCCGGCAGATGAACAAGACTAAATAGTCTCAAAGAAATAGAAATATATACACATTTAATATATATATATAATATATATATATATATATATATATACACGATTGCATACTTACAAAGAAGCACATACACGCCATTCGACACACACACACACACAAACACGCACGCACGCACGCATACACAGATATGAAACTCCATCTGCAGTCGACTGACTACGGATCTTTCCTATCAAACGAGGTTCAACTTTCAGCTGCTATAATCGACAAAGCACTGGTTGAGAGGGTTGTTCAGGAATTTAATTACATTCGAAACAATTCGGCGCCACCGCTTTCAACTTTCCTTGATTACATCACGTGAGTGTCTGCAGGTTATTCAATAGATTGTCATTGAAAAAATTTCAATTGCCAAGTTCACTGGCATAGAGTTAAAAGTTTAATTAGTAGCACAACGTCGTAAAGCAGCAGTTTGAAAATGTGGTTTCATAATTTAATTTCAATAATTTGTACAAAACTACCCATTCTAACTTTTGTGAACCGAATATTGATCGGAGCAGATACGGTTACATGATCGACAACATCATCTTGCTGATAACCGGTACACTGCATGGCAGGCCAATCAAGGATGTCCTACCGAAATGCCATCCACTCGGCAATTTCGAACAGATGGAATCGCTGAACATTGCCTCATCTCCGAAAGAATTGTACGATGCTGTGCTGGTCGATACTCCACTTGGTTGGTTGGTTGGCTGGCTGGTTGGTCGGTTGTTTGGATGGTCTGTCAATTATTTAGTTCGTAGTTTGGACAGGTGTTTGGTTGATAGTTTTGTTGATTAATATTTGATGGAATGGCTGATTGATTGATCTTTGTAAAGGTTAATTGGTTGATTAGTCAAGTGATTTAAAAATAATGATTTGTTTCTATTGAATAAATTATTAACAGCAAGCTACTTCATCGACTGCATATCTGAGCAAGATCTCAATGAAGTTAACGTCGAAATTTTGAGGAATACGCTTTATAGAGTAGGTGCTTATTAGTTAATTGGTTGATTGATCGAATGATTTGTACTTATTGAATGGTTTGTTAAATATTAATTATAGTTATCCAATTAGTTGACTAAATTGGTCCAAATTCTATAAAAATTGTTTTTGTTGAATGTCGGTGAAATGTGAATTAACAGCTGATGCCTATAAAAAATTGAATAAGAATCAACTAGCCAGTTGGACAGTCGGTCAACAATTTATTTTAATTTACTTCAGGCTTATTTGGAGGATTTTTACGAGTTTTGTAAGAATCTCGGCGGTACAACAGGCGAAGTCATGTGCGACATACTTCAGGTTCGTTTGAAATATTCATTTCTTTGCTCATTCGTTTGTGTAATCATTTTTTATCAGAAATTTTAATGACTAATACCTAACCATTCCCGCAGTGTAAATAAATCAATTAACTAAATTAATAAGCCAAACATGAAATCAACCAATCGCTCAATCACCCAACAACCCAAAAAAGTTTGAAGCGGACAGACGTGCCTTCATAATCACGGTGAACTCGTTCGACACGGAACTGAACAAAGATGAACGGAAGAACCTCCTCCCTCAATGCGGCAAGTTGCATCCATATGGCCTCGAAGCCCTAAAGAAAGCTGATACCTTGGAAGAAGTCAGATCAGTCGCTAATCAATATCTGGTCTGTTTTCTGATTGGCTGCTTGATGTTATGACGTAATGATGATGACAAATCTTGAGTGCTAGGGAAAATGGTTACTATTACTATTGATACAAGCAACAAATCAGTTGTAGTTGAAACTTTTGCAACTATTATTCTTTTTGTTGTTGATCCTCAACAATTTTGTTCATTGACGTTTAAACATTCATCATCGATGCCTATGTAAGTTTACTTTTTATGATGGTTTGTTGTGTCACCAAGACATCAAGCCAGATGTATGCTTAACGGCATTTTATCCCAACATATCTTTCATGAGTACAATCTTTCAAGCAACATCACAAGCATAGGGTTGAAGCTCATTTTTTATGTTTTATGACCAATAATACCCAGGAATACAAGTGTGTTTTCGGAGATTATGGTACTGTTAACCGGTTCGAAAAGTCAATCGAAGAAAGATTTTTCGAGAAAGAGGTATTTTGGTTTTGTACATAAGTTTAGTATCGCATAAATGGCCATAAACATGAACAGATACATATGTAAAAAAGCACATGAGCGAAAGCATAAAAAACAAATATTCTTGTAGATTTGTTACCTAAAAAAGCATGCACGCTTACACAGGTTGCTATAATGAAGAACGCATTCATGAACCAATTTCACTTTGGGGTCTTCTACGCTTACATAAAGTTGAAGGAACAGGAATGCAGAAACATCATCTGGATCGCGGAGTGTGTGTCTCAAAACCACAGATCCAAGATTGACAACTACATCCAAATTTTATAACATCTTTTTACCTCTTCGCTTTTCATTCACAATCTCCAACCGTTTTTCACGTTCGCTCGATTGGACACTGTTTCCTGAGATATTTTTTAGAAGCATGATATAAACACTTGAAATCTCATTTTTAAGATTTAAACTTTATTATTAAACGCAGACGTCGTAAAAATTATTGTAGCGATTTATTTGTGGCGCCATCCTTAATATGTGTTCAGATTCTTTTGATGTTGAATGGTAGAAACTCATTCACCTGTTGTGTTGTCACGTAATACTCATGAACCTCATAAACAATTTATTTACAACTAAACATTTGATTAAATAGGCAGACGCGTATTTTATATTAACATAATAATAATCAAATGAACGATGAACAGTACAAACACAAAAATTTGTTTATTTTCGTCTGTTCAAATTTTTCAACAAAACTTTCTTCAAAGCTTCCTAAATGGTCAAAAAAAATTTAACTAATTAATGCCATGAAAATTACCATTAAAACATCGTCATCACATCTACACCACATAACCAACCAACCAACCAACTGACCGATCCACCAATCAGCAGCCAACCACCACCACAATCAACTTCACCACTGAACCTTCTTATCGTGGTAGGAAGCCTTATTTTTCTGCTTGATCAGCTTGGGTTTGAGCATTTGGAAGTTTTTCTTCTTCCTCTTGCTCGTGTTTGAGGTACTGGCGTGCGGGTTGGACTTCTTCTTGCGACCGCCGCCAAATTTTTCGCGCCCTTCTCTGCCAGCCTGTCGAACGATTGCGATCGAAAGATATAGAAACAGTTAAATTGAGAGAGTGGATTATAATAATTGTACATAACGACTGCTACGCGAGTTCTCGCAACGGAAGGAGACAACGTAATCATCTGAAATGGCAGCAGCAGTAATTGTGCGAGTATAAACAACAACGAAGGTGTGCATGAGCCATGTAATAACTATCAATTTTTCACATTAACATCTATTAAAATTGATCGTACGGCAATCACTAAAGTACAAAAGTAACAAAAATTAAAATGGCTGAAAGATGTGTGCAAAGATGATTGCGAAGTAGTGATCATTCAAACTGACCATGACAGTCTCAAGTCTGGATTCCTTATCGTGCTTTCGCTTCTTGTACACCCCTTCAATCTGAGATAATGGTAGGACCTCTTTGCTGTGGTTGTCATGTATTTTATTTAGCTATTAATAATTAATAATATATCTAATGAATGAATGTCTACAAGTTATCCACGCTAATTTATTCAATGTTTTTTTTTTCATTCGCGCCAACTCGATTGTCATCACAATCATCAATGTCATCATCATCATTACCGATATCATCACCATCATCAATGTCATCATCTAGATCATTCTATTTTAATTATCGTCTTTCCACAAAGTTCCATGACGATCACTCTATCATTATCATAATATGCCCATCATCACAACCAGCATCATCATTATAATCATCCCAACCATCGTCACCATCACAATCATCGAAAACTAACTCATTAGCATCATTATCATATTCGCCATCACTGTGCTTCCTCTTCCTGCTGCCTACCCTCCTAACAAACTCCTTCTCTCTCGCCTCCTGCTGATGCTGAATTTTTTTGAAATCTTCCTGGGTTAGAATTCGGCTTTCCATCAACTTTTTTGACTTTTCGATTCTCTCTTCTAAGCTCATCTCAGCTGATGCCTTCGGTTTGTTTTGCTGCAAATTGGCGGGGAAACAATAATAATAACAATGACAATAACAATGATGATGACGAAAATGATAAGAAAGACGATAATGACGGTGTGGATGATGGTAGTTGCTAGCCACATTGAAGAAGAACAATGATGATACAGATGAAAAGTAATCAAAGCGAAATTGAATCAATAATATCATGAAAAGAAACACGACACGAAGACTAACATCATTTTCTTCATCATCAGATGAGTGAGACACATCCACCCAGGATCCACCATCATCGTCGTCGTCGTCATCTTCATCATCGCTACAACTCTGCCAACCATCTTAGAACCAAAAATAAAGCACATCAATGTACCGCACATCAACACATGCGCACACACACACACACAAACACGCACACACACCTGATTCTTTATCTTCCTCTTCCCTATCAGGAAGCACTTCAGCTCCAACTATGTAGTCTTTTGCATCCAGCTCTCCATAGTTCAGCACTCTGACCTCTTGGGTTGCTACTGTCGGTCTGCCCTGTGGTGGGGGTCGTGGTGAAGGTGGTGTGGTGGATGCGGGGATAGAAATTCAGAGAGAAAAGGAGAGACGGAGAGGGAGAAAGACGAAAAAGAAAAATGATAGATATAGAAAGAGAGACAGGCAAACAAACAGACAGATTGACAGACAAACATAAAAATAGATAGAGGTTTCATAATTATGAACAAAACAAAGCTAAAAAATAAAACGAAGGTACCCTAAAAGATCTATGAAGGAGCTGGGGGTTTTTAGCCCTGAAGAGTCCAATGAGAGATTGTGCGGCCATGGAAACGCCTAAATAATAATAATAACATTAAAAATAATAACATTAAAAATAATAGCTATAAAAATAATAACAATAAAAATAAAAACAATAAAAAAAAACAATAAAAATAATAACAATAAAAATAATAACAATACCAGTAATAGAAACAATAACAATGGTAACAACATTTATCCTTGTTCTTTTTGAAGAGAGCCAGATCATGAAGTAAATCTTCTGACATGGATAATGGACAGCGGTTGCAGACCTCACGCACTGCATTCAACCTTCGTTAGTTGGTTGGTCGAGTGGTGTCCGTTAGTTGGTCGGTTGGTAATTATATTAATGAGGAATCAATTTTTATTTCATGCTGTCAACTTTTTTACATTTTTATTTGATTTTGAAGAACCAAAGAGACTATCTAACTATCAATCGACTGATTGATAGTTAGATAGTCTCTCAATCAATCAAACAAACAAACAAACAACCCTTTAATCAACAAAAAATATCATATCAAACAACTAATAAACCAAACAACCAACAAGTTAATCAACCAATCGATCAATCAATCAACCAACCAATCAATCAAACAACCAACCAATCAACTAATCAACCAACCCGACGGCAATGACTTCATTGTTATTTGAATCATTGATGAAGTTGTCAGCAATTGTCCTTATGCTGGTTAGGATTATCTGATCAACAAATAATTTGTATATTTATAGAATAATTATTAATTATTTTATATATTACAATTACTATATTATTAATTATAATAAATATAAGTGAATTGTGAATTTGACAATTTTTGTTGTTAGGAATAGTTACGAATAATAAGCAAAATAAAACTAAAGAAACAAATTCAAATCAATACAAAAACGAGTAAACATACAAACAAACATGTGATCATAAAAAAAAGACCACACACACACACACACACACACACATACATCTGGTGGAACAATGTCATGGCAAGCTTGTGCTAAATAAAGCAACAACTTTGTCACATCTGTATTAATGAAGACAAATTTAATTATTCATTCGTTGAAATTTAGTATAAATCAATCAATCAATCAATCAATTGCAATACGTTTGGCTTGAAAATCATGTCTCGGAATCAGGAATCAATCAATCAATCAATCAACCAAACGATCAATCAATTAATCAAACGATCCAGTATAATTAATCAACCAAAAAATTAACTAAAATAAATAATTAACTAATAATCACAGCCAACCACATAATGATTGAATGCTTGATAAAATGATTGATTGATTGAAAATGCAACCTGTTTGAGAGGGCTTGAGAAATCGATCGAGAAATGGGTAGAATTGCAACAGAAATAACTAAATTTGAAAAAAATTTAATACGTATAAAACAACACAAACACTCACACACAAACATAGATGCATCTAAACGCAAACGCGCAGATATAGACATATGCACACTCACACACGCACATACACACAGAGCAAATACACATACAAACACACGCATAAACAAACAAACAAACCTTGTGGATGCCAATGAGCTGTGAGATGAAGTTGAGTTTGAGAAGTTTTACTTGGAAGATGTCGTTCTTTTTTGACCCACTCAGTTGGGCAAATAATCTCTCTGCTAAATCTGCAGAAATAATAATAATAATGATAATAATAATAATAATAATAATAATAGCGAAAAAAACAACATAAAACTGCATAACTTGACATAGACACATTCCAAAACATATAAAAAAGCTACAATAACCTTAACATATATACATCTGCTAACATAAACAATCTCACAATATCATAAACACACACACAAACAGACACACAAACAAACTTACTCGCAATGACAGAACTTACAAAGACACAAAGGCATACCTTGTGGGTCATTCAGGAGATGAATTGCTAAGAAGTTGTTATCGTTCACCTTCTTTCTCTTTTTCTTTTGATCCTTTCATGATGAACGAACGAACGAATGAATGAGTGAGTGAATGAATAAATAAATGAGTAAGTAAATGAGTGCAACAGTGAATGAAAGAGTAAACTAATTAATGCATAAAAAAAAGAATGGAATGGATGAACGAATGAACAGAAAGATATAATTGGTAAAAAATGAATTCTTGATAAACAATGCAAATGTTTGAATGAAACAAAAGCAATCTTCAATCATTTCAACTCAACCAAAAATTTTGTAAACAAAATGAACCAACCAGCCAAATCTGGCTAACTAACCAACTGAATGATCGATCAATCAGTCAATAAACCAACCTACCAACTGATCAATCAAACCTCAAACAGCCAGCCAATCAGTCAGCCAATCACCTGGATCATATTTAGCGCTCTCTTCATCCTCTTCTCCCTCTTCTTTGTCTTCTTTCCAACTCTGTATGCCAGTGCCAGATCCTTGGCCGACCTCTGTTCCGTCTGTGCGTGATGATGATGATGGTGGTGGCAATGATAATGATGGTAATGAAGAATGATGTTGGCGATGTTGAAAAAAATCTATAACTATCATCAACAACATTTTCACCATCAACAGCAGCAACTTCACCGTCATCATTATCATCATAAACATTCTTATCACCATCTTTTTCATCATCATCATCATCAAGAACGGTCATAACCAAAGAAGAACCCACCATTCCGGCTGCATCATCATCACTGTCGCTTTCCCCATCATCCTGAGAATTTTCTGAGCCGAGGAAAAACTTGAGAGCTGCCACAACTACCTAGTTAATTAACACAATCAATTCAATCATCATCTGATTAATTGACGTAAGCAATTCAATCATCATCTGATTAATTAAAACAATTAACTCAATCAGCTGATTAAGTGGCGCAATTTATTTAATCAGTTACTTAATTAACGTAATTAATTCTAATAGTTAATTTACCCATAAAGAGATTGGATTTAATTCATTCACTGAAAGACCAGATGAGACTTACAAAAGTGAATGATGTTCAGTAGTAATAAACGAAAAATAGATGAACACCTTGTTGTTGTCCTTGCAAAAGAGTGCAGTTGTTATGATGTTGGCAGTCTTCTCATTGTTCCACACCTTCCTGTTGTACAGCTCAACAATTATGTCCTGTGCACGCGTGGAAAATTGTGTGCATGCGTGTGTAACATATATCGTATACGGAAACACACACACACACACACACACACACACACACACACACACACACACACACACACACGTGTATAAATGGTATATGTGCATACAAAGTTTGATGAATCAGTCAATGAATGAATGAATGAATGAATAAATAAATGAATGTATTAAATTAATTAATTAGCAAACGATTGGATGAGTATATTAATACAAAGATAATGAACAGGAATGAGCAAGTAAATTTGCTTAGTGTTCAACAGTGCCTCCACAACTCAACAAACAACCATTTGTGCAAAATAAGGCATCATACTGAGGTTTCCTTTGCGATTGAACCAGGTTATTGCAACTGGATGAACAATTAACAAACACGAACAAAGAAAACAAACCAAAGAAAGTTTGACAGTTGCTTTGTTGTTGTCCTTCAACATGATGTACATATAATTCTGGAGTGCCTGTGGTGGTGGAAGGGAGGCATTTATGAACTAAATCATTGTGAATGAAGTGCCACACCACACCACGCCAACACACACACACACACACACACACACAGTACCGAGTTAAGTTGCACATTCTTTCCCTTCTTATTGATGTTTTTGATGTCCTGGACAATGTAATTCCTCAGCGTACTACGAAGGACCTTGTCAGGACATCGAAATAAGTTGAAGAATAATTGTAGGACAGTGATGGCTGGTATCAAGTTCTTGTTCCTCATCAGCATCAACGCTCGACACAACGTCTGCACCATGCGTCAATTAATTGGATTTATTTGAAAAAAAATGAAATTTTGTTACAAGTTATGTTGTAAAAAAATAGAATTATAAATTCAAAACAGATTGGATCACTAAAATTGAACCTATCATCATTGTATGATCATGAAAATAACAAGCGTAAAAAAAACAAAGCAAACAAAAATAAACACACCAAAAAATGTGTTTTAAACACAAGCAGACAATTAGATAAACAAGCAAACAGACAGAAAAAAACATGCAGACGGACAGACAGACCAGTCTCATATCTGCATCCAGTAAGGGTCCCTGGGTGTCGAGCAGTTTGATTATTTGGTTTATAAACTCTGTGGTCTCTTTTATGTAACAGTGAGAAACCTGGTTGTTAGATATGCAATCATAACCACACTTCATGAATAAAAACTTACAAGATTGAGATATGAAATATTAAAAAGAGAGAAATTTAAAGTAATGAACTAAAAAAGAAAGAGAGAGTGAAATAAATTACCTGTGCAATAAACATTGCCTTGGTCACAAGATCCTCTTCATGGCTTGTAGGGCTGAGGAGGTAGGTGTTCCAGATTGCATTGAATTCTGACAACACATCCAGGAACTGGAAAAACGTTTAAAAAATTATCGCTAGTAGTTTAAAATGTTTAATATAGTAAAAAATGTTTCAAGTTAAAATCAAAATATTTACATGTTGAAAATCATCAGAGTTGAAAATTATCAATTAAAAAAATTATCAGCATTAATGCATTATTTCTAAGCAATTTATTAAATTTGTTAATTAATTATTTAATTCAACAAATTGGCAATATCTAAAAAAGATATTTGTTAAAATAATTTTACAGATTGATTTGAAAATAGTTGGAAATAACATCAGGTTTGTGGGACTCTGGATCCTTCTTGATTGCACATTGCAATAGTGGCAGGTTGTTGGAGGACAATCTTTCTGACATTTTTCTACTTTCAATAATAATAATAAATAAAACTCTTTCTCTGTTGTTAAAAATGAAATAAATAACTTTAAATAAAATATTCTTAAATTACTTTGAAAACATTTTTAAATAGTACATCACAAGATGAAAAAATAGAAACAAAACAGAGTACATGGTTGTCAGTAAAAGCAAAACCGCCAATCTGCTTCATAAATCAATTTTATTATTAATTATGATAAACAAGTGAAACAAGTCAAGTTTTAATTATCTCAGATTGTAAATGTGATATATATGGATATCAAACAAAGAATACCAATAGTGAAAGATGCATATTCTAAAATGAAAAACATCCTCACCAACAGTAAAATCAGATTATCAACAAAATTAAAACTGTTAAAGTTAACTCAACTCACTTCTTAAGACTTACTTAAGGCTCTGAGAGTCCTAGATGATTTCTAAAAAAAAAAAATGAAAAAAGAGAATAATGCTGCTGATTCGTGGTTTTTGAGAAGAATTATGAAAATTAGTTGGACTTTTCACGCCTCCAATGAGAATGTATTAAAACAGCCCGGTTAAGAAATTATTAATACAACGGGGACAGTTAATTGAAGTTTTTTGGTCACCACATCATACTAATTTAATACAATACAAAGTACAAACTATAAAATAAAAAAACTTTGTAAAATATAAATTTATTTTATTTACAATTTCAAAGTTGAACTGATGGCAAATTTTATTAATTTACTTAATATTAAAGGCAGATTAGCCAAAACACCGATAAATCGTAAAAATAATATTTATTGACAAAAACAACACACGTGCTGGCTAGCTAAAGAAAGGGAGAAGAAATTGTATCTTATAAGCAAAGTGAACAAAACAATGGAAAGTCATAAAATAAATGCATATATATTATTTCAATACTTTCCCTTGTTTTTAAACATTTATCACTTAATTCCCTGTTTACTTTACCTGTTTTGAATAGCTTCAAAAGCTGTGTTTTTGTCTATTATTTTCTGATACGTTTCGTCTGTCCGTGACTGCATCCGCGATTACTGAACTGGCATAACTGTTTACCTTGCTAAACAAATCTGATTTCTCTTTAAAATAGTTTTTCTGTTGTTCAGTTTGATTTCCTGATGACATTTCTGGTCTCAAAAATTTACCATCGATCACATCAAGTGCGCCCTCACGGTAGTCCAGAAAATCTCGAACTCAACGTTTCCAAATGGCCAACCGGTTGCGCAATTTAATTACTTAATTTGAAGTTTTGAATCCAATTCTTAGGTTTCAAAAAATTTCAATCAAACAAAAAATTAATGTTTTAGTTTTAACGAGAATTGGAAAATCGCAAATTGCAATCTCCGTTAAAATAATATATTCATTTAAACATTTTTTTGTTAAGCGATCCGGGCACATAATCTGTTTTAGTATATTATATTTTAACATATTTCAATGAAAAAACAAATTTCTAATGTAAAATTAATCGTAAATTTTATGCAAACACGCAAATTTATTATAAATTAATTTAAGGCATATATAATTTAATTATAATTTAGTTTAAGGCATATACAAAGTTAATTAAACGGGAACATTTTTGACTTAGAGGACGAAGTGGGTATAGGTAATGGAAATTCAATGATGGTAGACGGAATGTGGAACGAAAAAGTTAGCAGAGAACATGGATTAGATTGCCCTATCGTATTCTTCCAATTATACGCTTTACTGGAAGCAGGAGCAGTATTGACAACACACATTACATTTTTGCAGGGAACCTCATGGCAGTCAAACATCTATTATAGCTGATTCGAATTATTTCTGGTTAGCCTCATATTAATAGCGCAAACATTTTTCCTAGACACAATACAGAATAAAAAGAAAAATAGAGAAAAAAATAAGAAAAACCAAATTAGAAAATTATTGAATTTTATGACGCCATAAGAATTGAAATCAGTCCTCTGGTATTCAAAGATGCCTATCACGCTTAATTCCGTTCGACGTTGCAAATAATAATTCTGGTATAAAAACACCTTTTCGAGCAAACAATTTGATTCTAAAAAAAGTTATATTTGTTTAGTTATTTATAAAAGTATCCAGAAAAAACAAAAAAGTCAGTACAATAAAAAATTTTCCTATATTGACAGAAAAATAAGTTAAAGGTGCATCAAAATTTGACTATCTACAAAAACACAACAACTCTCTACATTGAGCAACGAATATTACGAATCGTTTTTGAGCAGGTATCTGTCCAAAAAGTGGAAACTTCCATATATTACCTGCAATTTCAGAATAAACTAACTTTCAAAGCCACTCTCAAAAAACAATTTTATTTTGATATTTTAATACAAGTAGGATATTTAAAAAGCATGCAGATAAACTATACAAAAATTACTTAAATTAGATTATAAGACAACGTTTATAAAAATTAACGTAAAATAACTTAAACATTTGAATGAGTATAACCTCAATGAATATAAGGAATATGATCATGAGCTCCAGCCTGGTGTGGTGTTTGTCCTTCAGGTAGTCCCTCACCAACTCCGTGAATTCAACGCACTGCCTCAGCTTCTCATTCATCACCTGTTCGTTCATTCGTCAACATTTTCCCAATAACTCGCATATTCTGCAAATCATCTCTTTTAAATTCATCCTCGTCTTCATCTTTACCATCATCAAGTCATCATCAACATACAAACTCATCTTCATCACAAACACCAGCCATTAGCTATGTATTAGGATGTTTTACAACGATTTCAAGGAATTAGAAAGAAGGTATTAGAAAACGAGCGACGCCACGCTACAAACAAACGTCAAGTATTTATGACCACATATTAAATAAAATGTTAAATTTTTGCACAAAACTACAAATATTAACGGAAACTTAAATTACAATATAATATAAAAATATTATTGAATAATATAATTAAAAAATATAATATAACGTAAAATAAAACAATAAATTACTTTGGTCCTTCGAGGAATGTTGAGAAAGTTGCAGGTTTTGCGGTACAACTTCTCCAGCTGGTCCCTGTCCCAGTAGAAGTCTGGCGTGTCGAGCAGGTCAGAACTCAAGTTGATCAGGTGGCTGGGGGTTGAATGAATGAGTGAATGAATGATGAAATGAGTAAAATATAAATGAATAAACGAACAAATGAGTGATGGAATGAATAAAACATGACAATCTTACCTGATTGAGATTTTACTTTAAAAAATGAGACAACACCAAGAATATTAACGAATGACAAATTGAAACTCGAGCTAAATGGAACCTTAATGTGAAAAGTTCCCCGGCTTTTTTCAGCACGTCACTCTCTGAAACTCTTAACTTTCGACCATTTTTCAAATCCTGGGAAGATAAATTAATAATTAATGATATATATTGACAAACAATTGTTAACAAAAACAAAGATGTAAAAAGAAAAAAAAAACCATTAATAACAAAAACTTATAAAATAAAATTGAAAGACACACACACACGCACACACATACACAAATTAATTACCTCTAGCATTGATTCAATTGATTCAATGTATTTCTCCAATGAAGCTTCCCAAACGGCTAACTTCACTAAATTTAAAACCAACAAATTTATGTACAATAACCAAATTTCAGTCACATAAATGTCTCCATCACAAACATGTTTCAATCATCTTCATTTTGATCATCATCATCGTTATCGTACCACCATCATCATCATCATTATCATACCACCATCATCATCATCATTATCATACCACCATCATCATCTTCATTCCTCCCCACCTGATAGAGAGATGGCATTAGAGAAAGTAAACATCTCAAGATGATCGACATCTCCTTCCTGCGGCCGCTGGATGTGTATGGCCCCATTCACTAAACTTGTCTTGGCACTGTTCTCAATTTTTTAGTATCATGTATTTATGTATCATCAACACAGTTTTGGCAGCAGTATTATTATCTTAATTCTATTTAAATTTACAATGATGGCCTAATGATTAAAGACGTCTGGCGCTGTGTTGCAGTGACTAAGTTTAATTGCACAGCTTTCCTTCACCTATTATTGCAATTTATGTAGTGCGTGAGCGTGCTTTCACGTATATTCATCGACTGCATGCATTCGTTGTTTATACCAATGATTATCTTCAAGTTGTATGAAAAATATTTGAATGGAATATTCTAGAGAAGGGTGACAACAATTGCAATAAAAAAAGCAACAAACAAACAAACTCAGTAAAAGCAAATTCAACATTTTCAAGTTGTTCCATGATCAAGTTCTCATCATAGGAGCCATGCTGGTGGTCGCGAATCAGACTTAATATTCTCAATTTCTATTCAATTTCAATTCATTATAAATAAATTATCATCATCTTCATTGTTTAAAAAAATTATCCAAAGGGGTAAAAAAATGACCAAGACATTTCAGAAATAAATCAATGAAAAATTGACACATCTGCCAACATATAGACATGGCACACATAACAAACATATCAACCTACAAATTACTTTTGGTAAAAAATATCTCAATCTGCTGAGTAAAAATAAATACACTTGCAATTAATCAAATGTCATTTACTTTAAAATCAGGATATAAAGAAGATCATTATTGTCATACCTCAGGTTCTGTAAAATTCCAGAAGACTATGGATCCTTCCCTGTTTTCAGATAAATTTATATAAAATTTTGTTAAAGTTATATTAGATAAAATAAGAAGATCTTTTTAAAAAACTTGAAAGATTAAATTAAAATCTGATAATGGAGTGGAACCTGAATAGAAAAATATTTTTTAAGACAGTTTCTTCATCTTCTTTATTTTTAATTGCATTCTTTTCATTGAACTGCACGTGTAAAACATCCAATGCATCTTTTGGATCATCAAATTTCACATTACAAACAAATAAAAATGTTTTTTATTAACATAAAATTATTAAATAAAAACCATTCATATAAATTAAATAATAATAAAGACTAATGACTATTTTTACAGTTTGAATAAATAAAACAACGCAACAAACAAATGATTCAAGTGTAAGCACCGGAATGATAAAAAATTTTGAAAAATAGTAAATCAGCTATGCCCAATGAACAAACTAACAAATTAACAAACCATCTGGAAGTTGTTGTACTGTACAAGGCAGGAAGTTCTGCATGAGGTGACCAATGGTTTCTAACTGATACTCTTCTGCCGTTGCATAGGCACTCAGGTCGTAATATTTCTGTAAAGTAAATGTTAGTTATACTTAACATTAACTTAACCAATCATTTAATTTAAATTCTAATCAATTAAAAAAAATTAATTAAATGTTTTCAGTCATCATTCCTCACATAAATTTTTTTAGGCTTTTCTACCATGCTCTTCCTTCTGGTCACCGGTACACTCTTGAGGACATTTACATTTTTTTGTATCGCCTGCCCCGACTCGCCAGACAAACATTTGGCCGTGGGTGTCCTGCCGAACGCCGAATTTAAAAAATTGCAGCATGGTGAGAAAGTTTTATTCACCCGATGACATGAAAATCTGAGAGGAAAACGAATTAGAAAAGAGAAATTCATCGGAAATTTTGGTCCGGTTTTTATTCACTTATTGTGTACTTTTAACTTTGATCTCGATTTCTCGCCCAATGTTTTTTTATGATTCTGAACTTAGCCACCAGCCACAATGACCGACCTATATATTATGTGCGCGGAGAGACCGTGAAAAAAGAGAGGACCATCTGCTGAATGCACAGCAGATGTTCATATATGTTACCAATAATTGTATAAATCCTTAACTGATTATTGAAATGTATGAAAAGTATGTATTCTATATATTTAAGTAACGCATGTATGAACAATGATTGTATGATGTATTGAACAACATAGAAAAATTGACAGTAAGTTGAACATAAAAATCGATTAAAAATATTATTAATTGCGGCCTCAAAAAAAGATTTCTACCACTGATGTAGAATTAAATTACCTTTCTAACAATATATCAGCCACTAAAAAAAACAGCCTTCCAGGGTGTTCAAAACTCGAAAAACTAAAACATTTACATTGTGCATCGAGTCACAAAAATATTTTTTTTCACTATTCATAATTGCGGCCTCAAAAAAAGATTTCTACCACTGATGTAGAATTAAATTACCTTTCTAACAATATATCAGCCACTGAAAAAAACAGCCTTCCAGGGTGTTCAAAACTCGAAAAACTAACACATTTCATTGTGCGTCGTATCACAGCGACTGAAACAGAAAGATATGGCTGGGCAAAATTAAATTTTACTCGCAGACATGGTGGTCGGTACTATTGGTCTGCCATCATCGCTTTTATTTCATTATGAAAATCATTATAACACGTCAACCCTAGATAAGCATTTATTGCTAGGCTGAATCTTTCACTTTATTTAATTGTGAATGAATGGATCAACAAAAAAACTTAAATTACACGTTTCTCTAGCCTGTGTATGCGTGGGTGTGTTTGTGTATGTATTATGTTTGTGTATGTATTGTGTGTGTATTGTATGTGTCAATAATTAACAAAATAACCCAACGATATCTTTAACAATTAATTCAATGATAAATTTAACTGACTTCAAGTTCAACAATGTTCGTTTATGTCTATGTGCGTTTTATTCAACGGGCTTTTTTGGTTGTGCATCGAAGTATGTTTTTTAGTATTGAATTTTAAGCGGTGTGCGCTCGTGTATGTCTGCCCTTTTTATTGCAGCCAATCGCACAACGTAGTTCATCATTAGGTTAGTTGAGAGCGGTGCCATTGGTTCTGCATGCATTATGCCTAAACCAATGATTACAGTTTATAATTTTCACATTCTTACCAATATATGTTTATATATGTGTGTGTGCGTGTGTGAGTATGTACGTACGTATGTATGTATGTTTGTAAATAAATAAATTTGCAAATCAAATCACCCAGTCCGTCTGATTCATTGGTCAATTGTAAAATTTTAACAAACATAAAGTACTATTTTCACGTAGGAAAAGGAATAAGACAATTGAGAGGTTTAGAAAGAAATCACAGATAAATAAAACTGGCTAATAAGCTACCGTCACTTGTCCGAATAGACTGTATTAATGCCTCCGATGATAATACAGTACATCAAGGTAACATGATGCAAATTCACTCAAATGACGTTTTAGCTAATGCTAGATCTGAGTCATTGAGTGTTGACGATGAGGATAAAGATGACGTTTTTGATGTAATTATAAAGCTAAGAAAAGAACTACTTGCTTCAGATAGTGATAGATTTATACAACATGTTAGTGAGTCGTTATGCATCGTTTCATATTCATACAAACAGGTTCAAGTTGCTAAACGAACCAAAAAAAAGAACATATTGCCAGTGTTGTATTTTGATTCGACAGGATCGGTGATAAGAAGGACCAGCTCAAAGCAGAAGAGAATTTTTCATTACACTGGTGTTATTTCAATAGATAATAGAATAATTCCAATGATCGACTTTGTAACATGTAGGCACGACGTGTATCACATAAATCAAGTACTTATTGACTATAAGCACTACGTCTCAAAAAAATTGAAAGAATGGCCTTTGTATTCGAATGTTGTAACCGATTTTTCTATGGCACTTATTGAGGCTGTTTTGAAAGGATTTAACCACGATGGAAATTCCGACGTATTTGAATATGCAATGAAATGGGCAACCAGTGACGTCATTCCTATTAAAATTGTACAAGTGAAATTGTGTGTGT